CTATATTAGCATTCATTATCATTTTTAATACCTAGATATGTTTTAAAATGCAATTTGAAGCATTTTTGGTTTTGATCATAGTAAGCTATTTTCAAAAAAATATTGATTTTATATCTATATTAGCATTCTTTATCATTTATAATACCTAGATATGTTTTAAAATGCAATTTGAAGCATGTTTGGTTTTGATCATAGTAGGCTATTTTCAAAAAAATATTGATTTTATATCTATATTAGCATTCTTTATCATTTATAATACATAGATATGTTTAAAAATGCAATTTGAAGCATTTTTGGTTTTGATCATAGTAAGCTATTTTCAAAAAAATATTGATTTTATATCTATATTAGCATTCTTTATCATTTATAATACATAGATATGTTTAAAAATGCAATTTGAAGCATTTTTGGTTTTGATCAAAGTAGGCAATTTTAAAAAAAAATATCGATTTTATATCTTTATTAGCATTCTTTATCATTTATAATACCTAGATATGTTTTAAAATGCAATTTAAAGCATTTTTGGTTTCGATCTTAGGATGCTATTTTCAAAAAAAATATCGATTTTATATCTATATTAGCATTCTTTATCATTTATAATACCTAGATATGTTTTAAAATGCAATTTAAAGCATTTTTGGTTTCGATCTTAGGATGCTATTTTCAAAAAAAAATATCGATTTTATATCTATATTAGCATTCTTTATCATTTATAATACCTAGATATGTTTTAAAATGCAATTTAAAGCATTTTTGATTTTGATCATAGTAGGCTATTTTCAAAAAAATATTGATTTTATATCTATATTAGCATTCTTTATCATTTATAATACATAGATATGTTTTAAAATGCAATTTGAAGCATTTTTGGTTTTGATCATAGTAGGCTATTTTCAAAAAAATATCGATTTTATATCTATATTAGCATTCTTTATCATTTATAATACATAGATATGTTTAAAAATGCAATTTGAAGCATTTTTGGTTTTGATCATAGTAAGCTATTTTCAAAAAAATATTGATTTTATATCTATATTAGCATTCTTTATCATTTATAATACCTAGATATGTTTTAAAATGCAATTTAAAGCATTTTTGGTTTTGATCATAGTAGGCTATTTTCAAAAAAAAATATCGATTTTATATCTATATTAGCATTCTTTATCATTTATAATACCTAGATATGTTTTAAAACGCAATTTAAAGCATTTTTGATTTCGATCATAGTAGGCTTTTTTCAAAAAAAATATCGATTTTATATCTATATTAGCATTCTTTATCATTTATAATACCTAGATATGTTTTAAAACGCAATTTAAAGCATTTTTGATTTTGATCATAGTAGGCTTTTTTCAAAAAAAATATCGATTTTATATCTATATTAGCATTTTTTATCATTTATAATACCTAGGTATGTTTTAAAATGCAATTAAAAGCAATTTTGGTATTGATCATAGTAGGCTATTTTAAAAAAAATATCGATTTTATATTTATATTAGCATTCTTTATCATTTATAATACCTAGATACGTTTTAAAATGCAATTAAAAGCATTTTTGGTTTCGATCATAGTAGGCTATTTAAAAAAAATATCGATTTTATATCTAAATTAGCATTCTTTATCATTTATAATACCTAGATATGTTTTACAATGCAATTTAAAGCATTTTTGATTTTGATCATAGTAGGCAATTTTCAAAAAAATATCGATTTTATATCTATATTAGCATTCTTTATCATTTATAATACATAGATGTTTTAAAATGCAATTTAAAGCATTTTTGATTTTGATCATAGTAGGCTATTTTCAAAAAAATATCGATTTTATATCTTTATTACCATTCTTAATCATTTATTATACCTAGATATGTTTTAAAATGCAATTTAAAGCATTTTTGGTTTCGATCATAGTAGGCTATTTAAAAAAAATATCGATTTTATATCTAAATTAGCATTCTTTATCATTTATAATACCTAGATATGTTTTACAATGCAATTTAAAGCATTTTTGATTTTGATCATAGTAGGCAATTTTCAAAAAAATATCGATTTTATATCTATATTAGCATTCTTTATCATTTATAATACATAGATGTTTTAAAATGCAATTTAAAGCATTTTTGATTTTGATCATAGTAGGCTATTTTCAAAAAAATATCGATTTTATATCTATATTAGCATTCTTTATCATTTATAATACCTAGATATGTTTTAAAATGCAATTTAAAGCATTTTTGGTTTCGATCATAGTAGGCTATTTTCAAAAAAAATATCGATTTTATATTATTATTATCATTCTTTATCATTTATAATATCTAGATATGTTTTAAAATGCAATTTGAAGCATGTTTGGTTTTGATCATAGTAGGCGTTTTTCAAAAAAATATCGATTTTATATCTATATTAGCATTCTTTATCATTTATAATACATAGATATGTTTAAAAATGCAATTTGAAGCATTTTTGGTTTTGATCATAGTAGGCTATTTTCAAAAAAAATATCGATTTTATATCTATATTAGCATTCTTTATCATTTATAATACCTAGATATGTTTTAAAATGCAATTTAAAGCATTTTTGGTTTTGATCATAGTAGGCTATTTTCAAAACAATATCGATTTTATATCTATATTAGCATTCTTAGTCATTTATAATACCTAGATATGTTTTAAAATGCAATTTAAAGCATTTTTGATTTCGATCATAGTAGGCTATTTTCAAAAAAAATATCGATTTTATATTATTATTATCATTTTTTATCATTTATAATATCTAGATATGTTTTAAAATGCAATTTGAAGCATGTTTGGTTTTGATCATAGTAGGCTATTTTAAAAAAAAATATCGATTTTATATCTATATTAGCATTCTTTATCATTTATAATACCTAGATATGTTTTAAAATGCAATTTAAAGCATTTTTGATTTCGATCATAGTAGGCTATTTTCAAAAAAAATATCTATTTTATATCTATATTAGCATTCTTTATCATTTATAATACCTAGATATGTTTTAAAATGCAATTTAAAGCATTTTTGATTTCGATCATAGTAGGCTATTTTCAAAAAAAATATCGATTTTATATTATTATTATCATTCTTTATCATTTATAATACATAGATATGTTTTAAAATGCAATTTGAAGCATTTTTGGTTTTGATCATAGTAGGCTATTTTCAAAAAAAATATCGATTTTATTTCTATATTAGCATTCTTTATCAATTATAATACCTTGATATGTTTTAAAATGCAATTTGAAGCATTTTTGGTTTTTATCATAGTAGGCAATTTTCAAAAAAAAATATCGATTTTATATCTAAATTAGCATTCTTTATCATTTATAATACCTAGATATGTTTTAAAATGCAATTTAAAGCATTTTTGATTTCGATCATAGTAGGCTATTTTCAAAAAAAATATCGATTTTATATCTATTCTAGCATTATTTATCATGTATAATAGCTAGATATGTTTTAAAATGCAATTTGAAGCATTTTTGGTTTTGATCATAGTAGGCTATTTTCAAAAAAAATATCGATTTTATTTCTATATTAGCATTCTTTATCAATTATAATACCTAGATATGTTTTAAAATGCAATTTGAAGCATTTTTGGTTTTGATCATAATAGGCTATTTTCAAAAAAATATCGATTTTATATCTATATTAGCATTCTTTATCATTTATAATAATAGATATGTTTTAAAATACAATTTAAAGCATTTTTGATTTCGATCATAGTAGGCTATTTTCAAAAAAAATATCGATTTTATATCTATACTATCATTATTTATCATTTATAATACCTAGATATGTTTTAAAATGCAATTTGAAGCATTTTTGGTTTTGATCATAGTAGGCTATTTTCAAAAAAATATCGATTTTATATCTATATTAGCATTATTTATCATCTATAATACCTATTTATGTTTTAAAATGCAATTTAAAGCATTTTTGGTTTTGATCATAGTAGGCTATTTTCAAAAAAAATATCAATTTTATATCTATATTAGCATTCTTTATCATTTATAATACCTAGATATGTTTTAAAATGCAATTTAAAGCATTTTTGGTTTTGATCATAGTAGGCTATTTTCAAAAAAAAATATCGATTTTATATCTATATTAGCATTCTTTATCATTTATAATACCTAGATATGTTAGCTTCCAAAGGGTACCAAAATGTGTGTAATAGGAGGCCGGATTTGTCTGTATATAAACTTTTACAATTGGACATTATCTATGCCTTCAAAACGCCAAAAAACGTCTTTTTTGAATTTTGAAATTTTTTCGCGTTCACACGAATATATCTGAAGATTAAATTTTTTGAAGTTCTCGAGATAATAACATAGCTTTCGCGAATGAAAAAAAATTCTAAAGATATTAGAATTTTAATATTTAATTAAATTTTCCTGACTACTTTACTTAAAATTCAGTTTGAGATGTTTGTAACTTTTCAATGTCTGTGAAAGGATACTCTTGATGGGAGTCTTAGATGTAAGAAGGGGAGTGAGCGAGCTGTGCTCCACTCCACTCCGCTCCATTGCACATTGCTTCGCTTTGCTCAGCAATGTTCCATTTCACTTCGTTGTGACATTGAAAGCTTGTGTCAACATCTGCGTTCGATCTTTTCGAGAAATTTGACAACTATTTTGTTATCTAACATAAGTCGAGCGTGGAAGTTCGTGGCTTTCTACGTAAGTCGTGTTTTTTGAGTTTTCGTTTCTAATTTTCTCGTTATTTTACAGCGTCTAAATTCCTTTTTAATTCTTTAGATAAGGAAGATAGAAATATAGATACGGAAGGGAAAGAGTATATCTTTTTAAAATTCTGACATCAAATTTATTTTTAGGTATCATTTTTTTATTCAATAAAATATGGAAGTCAAATTTCAAATAATCGCAGTATTGTTCTTAAATACTTTTAATTAAGTCATCTGAAAAAGTGTTATGCAAAAAATAAAGTTTGAAATCATAAAAATTGGATATTATTAATTAACATTAAAGATTTAAAAACAATTTTTTTAATTTGGCAACTCCACCGTTGATGTGTATGGGTTTTGGAATAGTTTCGCGAGTTGTTGCAACTGTTTCACATTTTGGATTTAAGTTTTCAGGAAGATCACAGAAATTACCAACAGGATTAAAATGAAAGCCAGCAGGACACGTTTCAGGAGATGAAACACCATTTTCACAGAAGAAGAATTTATCACATCCTGTATCATCGTTTACAAATCCATCTCCATCACATGCTGGTCCTGGAGTTCCACCTCCACCACTATTACTTCCACCTTTTAAATTTATTAATATTAGCTTAATCAATTTAAAGAAAGGCTTTTAATATTTTTCTTACATGGTGCTATCGATTCAACTGTACAGATTCCAAAATTTCTATTGAAAACAGCTGGTGCTGTGCAACTGAGTGTTGCAGTACCAAGTTCTGTTTCGGTACAAACTTGGAATTGTCTACATTGGGTATCAGTAGCAACGGCAATCTAATAAATAATTGATATTTTTTGTAATTAAAAAATAAACAAAATATATTTGTGAATTTACCCTTTTTATTGTATCGGGAACTGTATTAGCAATGCATAAATTTGCATCACAAACAAGATTTGCATCACATGCTCCATTTACGTTGTTAAAATTAAAACCTGTATCACATGTTCCTTGATGAACAGATATTAATTCATTTTCTGCATTGTAATTACACCATAAGTATCCTGGGCAATTAGATGGATCATCAGCAAATCTTTGTCCACCATTGTTTGCCACTTTACCACATAAATCTTGGCTTTGTGCATATGCACTGACTAATAGAGTCAGAAGAACAAAACCTATTCAAAACATTTAAATTTTTAAATTAGTTAAAAAAGCGTGTAAAAATTAAGTGACATTTCAAATTTTAATGGATTTATCATTTAAAAATATTCTCACTTTTCATTTTTCTTCACTTATATTTTACAAAACAACCACTGAACTGATTAGTTGATATTTCACCTGTATTTATAGCTAGAAAATATTATCAACTTATCAGGAGAAACTATTTTAAACAAACTGTAAAATCTCATAACTTCATAGTTATGTGCGAACAAATCATTAGTAAAAATGCCGTCAGTTCTGATAAGAAAAACAAGGTATTCAATTTACTATAATATGTTTTGTCAATGCTTAGTAAAAAGAAAACGTAAAACGTATAAATCATTGACTGAAAACAGTGAAAAATTAGATTAAAATTGATATAAGTTTGAGATAATCTTTCAACTTCCTTTTAAATGAAGAATGTTAAACAAGATAAAAAACAAAACAAAAATTGAAGTGAATCCCAAAAATATCTATGATTTTTTTATTATAATATATTTCATTAGTTATATTTTTAATAACAATAATAGCTCTATAATACGTAATATTTTATGTTATTTTCTGTTCATTAAAATATAAAATCTTAAAATCTTTTTTAAAATTGTTTTCAAAATTTTCTTTAATTTAAAAAAAAACAAGATAAAAATCATTAAGCTACATTTCTAAGGCATGTATGACACGTCGGGTTGCCATACCCCTATTCGTCTTTAAAAGAAAATTTGTTTTTCAATTACCTACTCAGCAGGAAAAATATGACTTTTTGGCATTTTTGTGTACTATGTTTATATTTCCTTACATGTACATATAATAAGTTTGCAGTTAAATGATTGAATTATTTTGAAAAAGCTGCATGATATGTACATGCATTAAAAACGATTTTAAAAATCAGTTTGTGTAGTAACCAATGTAGGTGTGATGTAAAGTCCTGTTAAGTTAAGAAGTAAATATATAATATTAAGAGTGGTTAAAGAACTTAAAATCGGCTTATAATACATTGGAATAATTTATGAGTGAATACATTTTATGTCAAAGTTATGCAGGAAATGAAGTACTTAAGGAATGTTTTAAACGGAGCTCCTTAAAAAATAATGTATGCTCTTTTATACTGATCGCCCACCAAACAAAAGGTTATGTAAAATTAAATATTATCTTAAGGAGTAGTATTATTTGAGTAACTTTTGTTTGAAACTCTAGTATTGTTTTTATATTTGCATAGTTTGAAAATCAATTACTATTGGCTTTTATCTAGTGTTGCACTCAGACGCAAGTTGTCTGAATTAGTTAAAATCTGACAGATATCTACATTCTTGCCCTAGTATAGACATCTAAAACACAATCGCAGGCCATGTATAATTTTCGAAGCTCTCTTTCCATTTCACCGTTCTAGTTACGAAGCTAAGTTCGTGTGTTTGATGTAGTATTGATATCTTGAAGGATATACTAGCATCTGGATGATCTTAAACACACGAATTGTGACTAGGCACATTGCAGAGTACATCAAATCTCATGATGACCTCGTGTCTTTGTAATTTGAAGAGCTTGCAAGTGGTTTAGATCCCACTATAAACTTTAGGTCTAAAGGTTGGGGTACAATAGATTCTTTACAAAATTGAATCGCAGTGCCTCTAACTGAAAGGCTGGGCCGTTCAAACATTACTATTATTATTAACTGCGCCAAGAGTTTAGATTAAATGTAATAAAATTGTTTAAATTGTGTATTAAAATTAGCAAAATAATAGACATTTATAAAGTGAAATACGAAGATAAGAAGCAACCATAATGAAAAGGATCTTTAAGGCATTATTAAATATATTTAAATCCATGGATTATTATACTGAGATGATGCTGAATGTTTACATAAATATCAAATCTCAAAGTGAAAAGTTTTTCGATAATTTAGTTTCCAGTTCTTAAACAGACAATTGAATAGATAACAAAAACGCATTTTGACACATGATGAACGAAAAAATAAACAAAGCAAAAATAGTTGTCATGAGATACCAAATCTTGATCTAGATCTTATAAAACATTTATCAAAATTAGTCCAACTGAAAAAGTTACTGGTTATCGGTAATAAAATGCTTTCAGAAAAACTTATTCAATAATTTTATAAGAAGCAATGTCAAAGTGTAGACGAGGAAATGAAAATAAAAACAATTTTAAAATATTGACAGATATACATTTTAAATTTTATTAAATCACAAGCAAAATTTGAATTGTCGTGGCATTGATATTAATATAAAGAAAGAAAGAAAAGTACATACATCAAATCATTCCTTTTTCTAAATCTTTACCCACATTTTATGATTTAAAAAAAGCTCCAAATGACTTCAATTTTATAATATAAGCTTTAAAAATATCTTTTTAAATGTGGCAAGAAAGTATATAAGTTTAACGAAGTTTTTAAACTCAAAAAATTGTTAATTAAATTTATTCAGTTTGTATCCCCTTTAACTTCAAATATCTAAATTTCGTTATCTTTTGTCATTTTAATTGTAATAATTTGGTTAAACATTTTAATTTTGTTTGGAAAATAACTTTTATTCAATGTAAATATGTGCTATAAACAACAATATTCCTAATTTCTTTTTTTTTTCGAAAAATTTAATGATTATTAAAAATATTTAAGATAACATGTGCTACAATTTAATGAAAAAATACAACATGGACTAAATTAGCGAGCGCAAATTCTATAGAAAAAATAAATTTTATAATGTTGGATGAACATAAGAGACTAATATTATCATAAAATTGTCTATACACTGAGCATCTAGTCATCTTTATTAAATGAATAAGTGAGAAGAAGAGATAGCGAAAACCATTTGATTCGAGAGCAAGAACAGCAGTAGAAAACAACAATAAAGAGCGACGAAAACAACAAGCAGATTGCTTTATGTATACACATAATATTCATTTATTTTCTCATTCGTGTATTAATCGTGGTTCGCGTCACTTGTGTTTAATGTCTCGTTCTGTGAATAATAATAAATTAAAATCGATCATAAAAAAAATATCATAATTCTTATCCTCTTAGATGTTCCTTCACAATAATTTTTTTTCTACTCACTTGTACAAAATTTAAAGCAGTTTGCTTTTGCACATTAGAAGGAATTTTTCTTTTTACAATTTATGATAATGCATCATTATTCGCTGTGAGTTTGAAAGTGTGCTCAAAAGTAACTCGATTAAAAAGAGCGAAAGCAAAAGCAGCAACAAAGAAGATTTTTTGTTAAATGCAAATTAGCCTCAAGCGGTCTGCAACAGATCACCAACTTAATTCATATACAATGAAGAAAAATGATTCGAATATAGAGAACAGATTGTGTTAAAGGCTTTTTTGTGGACGAAACAAAAATATGCTAAAAACTTTTATGTATATGAAAAACTATAGACGAATCATGATGGTTTTTGCAATATTTCTTATGTACATATCAATGTATTTAATTCATAATGCCTATGGCTCGCTATGCATAATTAAAAACAGTGAAGATAATAAAAGCAATGTCGGAGACATTGAAACAGCATCAAGACTTTATAAAGTCAACAATACAAACCTGTTTGCCGTAAGTAATGCAAAATTTTGTTTTGCTTTGCTCATTTCTTTGAGGTTCTCTCTCAATTTTTATCTTATTGCACAACTATGCAATTTTGCTATGTTGACTTCTACATGACTGCTGTGTATGAAATTAGAAAAATCATGTTTTCTGGCTTTCCTATTTCATACGAATTGAGCAACACATTTTCTTACAATTCTTTTTAAAATATAACATTTTTTTTTGTAATGTGAATTCATATCAAAAAGCTGAAATCTGTTTAATTCAGTTTTTTTAACTCAAAGAAAGAAAAAAATGAAATTTGTTATTATTACATCTCAGGTTTTAAAGTCAATTCAAGTTTTCAAGATCAAATAATCTTGATACATGACTTACTTACTATTTGACTCACCTATAACTATAAGTAATCGCTTGTAACGAAATATAGAAAGGTGTGTAGTAGAAATTTATATGAAATTATGTGTCTCGTTATACGTGCGGAAAGGCAAAAGTCAAAATATTGAATATCGCTAGCGAAACCTTCTTGACTTTTAACAGAGTTGTAGTTTTAGATATTTGAACTTAGTAACAAAAAGTTGTGGCTATGATGTTTAGAACCTATTTATTGAAACGGCAAATTAACTCTGTAAAGAAAACCATGAGAGATTCAAAATAAGAATATATTTGATTGCAATAATGATAAATTGAAATTTTCAATCAAACCTCGCCTTGCCTTATTTTTATTAATCAGTGATCAAACTTTTTGCAAAATCTGTAACGAATAGACTATAAAAAATAATATGATTCATTGCTAATAATTTTTATTATATAAATCAAATATATTTTTTACGAAAATGCTGGAAAAGCACATTTACTGGAACATCAGACTTAAAAAGATTAAAATAATCTTTTAACATATTATTTTTGCTGTCAGAAGATTTCTTGTTCCTTAAATAATATTTTGTATAATAATTTAGAGAATTTGTAGAAACAAATTTTTGTTGAGAATTTTTATGAGTGCATAAAATTATCATTAATTTTTTGAATTTTTGTCATATAAACAGCAGTAAAGTTAATATATGAGCAGGTTTAACTTAAATTCGCAAACAATGGGAGTTTGATTTTGTTATTAGTAATTTTTTATCATCTTGTGATTATAGTCTAAACCATTATTGCATTAATAAACCTTGTATTCGTAAAAATTTCCTAAAATTTTGGACTTGTTTATGAGCTAAAGGTTGTTATTAAAAAGTTCAATTTATTTAATTATTAATGAAAAAGAACTTGATAAATTTCATAAATTCAATAAATTAATGCATTTTCATCACTGTTAAGTTGATGCTAATTTTGATTAAAATCTTTTTATGCAAATAAAATTGTTCATTGCAGTTTTCAGAATTTTGCCTTGGGCGATTTCAAAACAATTTAATTTTTTAAATTTTAGATGGATTCTTTTTACAAATTATTTATCTCTCATCTAGTTATTATAAAGGGCTATGAATAATAGAATAATTTGCCGAAATGCACAGATGATTTTCAGAAAAAAGATCTAGCTAAGCCAATGTAGCAAAAACCATTGTAAGATCCATAAGATCATTATTTTGTTTAGTATGCAAAGGAAATAACCGATTCTAGAAAATCAAGAACATTTCGCCATGTAATAGTCATCAAATTATGTTTTATTTTCTTTACAATATAACAAAAAATATGTATTTAAATTTGTTTCCTCAAGTCATGCTTATAAATGACCATCAAGTTTATTAACAATTTTCATTGTCTTCATATCTTGATTGTTCATCACCACCGAGGTTCATTAAATTCATCTTTGCATAGTAATTTAATATGAAAAAGTGAGCACACAAAAATGTGTATGAAATTCCGATAAATAAATCGTGAAACCAATTTTTCTATTTCTTCTTTTCTTTTATCTATTCTTGTTGGCTAATAAAAGCATTTTTGCCATAGCTATTTGTTCGATATGATCGACATGAACTTTTCAAAAGATGATGAAGACTAAAAGTAAACTATTAAACTAAATCGAATGATGAACATCTTTAATTTCTTACTTATTTTATATTGTAAATTGATCGTCTCATCGAATGAAAACAAATGAAATCATTTAAATATTTGTCTTGTCTGCTTGTTTAAACTGATCAAGACTAAAAGAGGGAAGAACAAAAAGAAGAATATAAAGAAATTAAAAGCGAGTATAAAACTGACAATGATGACAAGAAAATCGTGAAATTGTGTTTCAAGTGTTTCAAGTCTCAAACCATTATTGGCAATTTCCGGCCAATGGCTTTAACTCAATTTGTTAATATGTACACATATTCAATGAAACGAATTAAGTTGAGAGCAGAAATGAGCGAGATACAGAGAATAAAAATCATTAAGAAGAAAACCCGAAAGTCAAATGCAACGATATATTTATGTAAAATGATATCATAAACATTTAAAATAATTTTTCATCATTGTGTCGACTTATATGAACGTATTGTATATAAATTTTTTCTACATTTATATATTTTTTTTTTTTGAAAAAGGATCTTCTTATGAACACGACGCAAATGCAAAATCTAAGATTGGAACAGTCTGAAGAGTCATCAAGAGATTATACAAATACTCATGGCACGGAATGGAGTAGTAATATTGATTTAGATGACATTTTTATCAGTATTAAAACGACTAAAAAATATCATAATACCCGACTGAAGCTAATTATAGAAACGTGGTTTCAACTAGCAAGAGATCAAGTAAGCAATTAACACATTGTGACACATATTTTATTTCATTTATTTCTTCTTAAATAGCATTCTATATTCATCAAAATTTCTCATTTTTCAAAACAGATTTGGTTCTTTACTGATGATGATGATCAAGTTTATCAAAATTTAACCAGTAAGTAATTTAATATTTGTTTATAATTTTCTACCCGCAACCAATCGTTGCTTCCTCATCATCTTAAATCTCTACATTTTTGAGAAGAAAATGAAAAATTGTTTAATCAGAGTTGAATGGCAGCATATGATGAATCAAATATGATTCAATTTTTTGCAAGTACTTTGTAAATTACGTTAAAAACATACATTATTAACCATTAAAAAATGAAAAGTAAATGGTCACCAAAGATTTTTAACAAACCACAGCATTCAACTGAAAAGTGCTCAGAATGTTTATTTTTTCTTTTTACTGATCGCCTTCCTTTTAGTTTTGTTTAATTTGAAACTGCATTTTTTCATTTATTTAAAATTTCCAAATAAATTTACACAAACCGCAAAGTCAATCTATCGTAAAATGATTATGTTTTTCTTCCGTCCCTACCTTTTCGATGGCTTGTTTAAGAGGTCCAAATTAAAATGAATCTCAATCTTATTTTGTTTCGGTTTATTTTGCTTTCATCGGTTTTATATTCCCTTAAAATTTTATAAACATTATTTTTTTTTTTGTGTGCAAAAAACATGGACGGAATGGATAAAAATTGACATCTACAAACATTCTCATTAGTGCATAACTCAGATGCAAGAAGGAATTTTTGTCTCATTAGACAGATACCATCCACAATAGCTCATTAAAATCGTTATCGATATTCGGGATTTTTACAAATATTCATGTAGGCTTTGTTGCTGAATGGAAAAGGAAGAGATAGAGGGAATAACATAAAAATTCTATTTGGACAAATCCACGAGAAAACAGAACTGGAAGTTTTATAATAAAATTTAATAGGAGGGGAGTCAAAAAGTCGTTTTTTTTGTGGTACTGTTCCTAATCTTTTTATAAACGCAAAAATTACAATCCAAACCAACAAGAATCTCGAAAAATTGAACCAGTTGAAATTGTATGTTATTAAGAATTAACAAATGACAGCTATAAGTTAATTTTATGATTAGAAACCTAATGGTAAAATGGTAAAAAATGATGAAACGTCTTTAGCAGTAGTTTTATAAACAACATACAGCTGTTTATTTCTGTATGAACTGTATTTTTACTATCTCTACTTGCAAAGGAAGATTTTAAAGCAATCAGCGCAATTTGTAAATTAGTGCAAAAAGGATAGGATATTTTGTGAGATTTCAAACAAAATTTAATTTTTTCAAAAAATTCATTCGTAGATTTACCCATTCAACCAAAACATAATAAGACTTGGATCTTTTTTCCTTTTTCCACCTTTTCCTACACAAAAATCCGAAAAAGTTTTCTTTTTCTTTACATACTCACTTTCGACAAGAAACAAAAATCCACAAATATTTCATACAGCTCTACACTGCAATATATCTCTTTGTTCTTCTTCTTATTAATTTTTTTTTGGATGCAGTGCTACGTGTTGAATTTAGAGTGAATTTATTTCTATCACAAACAACAGATCACAGAAGAAATCCCGGCGAATTATTTATGACGACAAAAAAATAAAGATAAAAGCATAACAAAAAGAAACAGTTGGTTCATTTTTTGATCATTAAAATATTTTGTACTATGTCTTGCTTATAGAATGTATATATATGCCTTATAAAATTGTTTTCGTCTTTTTTGTTGATTTTTTTTCACGAATTGAGTCTTGAAGTTAAAATTGATTGATTGCTCTCATTCTCCAAGTATTTTCTAATGATGAAGGGTAGCAAATAGGATATGAAATTATATTAGACTCGCCCACTATGAATGCTATCAACAATTGATTATAATGCGAAATATATCTTACTCTTTATATAGATAACCACATGGTGCAAACAAAATGTGGTCAGGGTCACTACAGGAAAAGCCTTTGTTGTAAAATGAATAAAGAATTTGATTTCTTTCTTAGCACGTCAAAAAAGTGAGTAAAATATTATTTTATATATTTTTTTATAATTTCAAGAACCAATACATAGACTAATCATTCACAATATATTATTGTAAAAAGTTTTAATAATGGACATTTATTTAAATTAAAATGTTAATTGACTGATAACTTTCGCTTAATTCAATCATAAAAAGGAAAAAAAAATTAAACGAATAAGGAGACTTTTATAAAGTAAATCTAAATAATAAGAGCAATGGGGTGGCTAGTAAAGTGAGCATAAGCCATTGTTATTATGATGTAATTACCAAAGATTTAAAATCATTCATCAAGACAGAAATAATTGAATAAGAATTGTGTGGTAACACCATAGGTAGTCTATAAATTAAGACATCCAGTATAACTAGCCATCCCACATCTCTCATCAACAACATCTCACATTATTATAATGTAAGAAAATAACAATAGGAAGAATTTAAGTACCATGGTCGTATAAAAAGATGTTCGATGCTTAACTAGAAATTTCATTTCAAGATATAATTTTTGGAACTAATTATTTTCGATTACGAGTCGAAAAATTGACTATTACCACTATTAACTGCCAATTTTAAGAATTATATGGAATAAAATAGTCGAATAGAATAAGAAAAAGGTGTGAAGAAGAATTTTTTTTTTATTTCACGTTACATTCAGATTAGGGCATAAAAGAATCAGTATAATGAGAACATGAGCACAAGAGAAGAAATATTCTTGTACATGTTACTACCTAATATAGAATAAAATAAAAGTCATCGTTGTGAATGAGTTCAAAAAATGTGCGGTAATATCGTTGCTGCTGTTGCTTCTGCCAGCAACAACAAAGCCAACATAATTAGCTTAAATATTACTTTCAATTTTTTTTATAAAAAAAATACTTTTATTCTAACTCTCTTTGAATGGTATTTTCTTGAATCAACGACTTTTTTCCACACAAATTGAGTATCGATAGAGATGTACATACGTTCATACATTCTAATCAATGTATTACCAACACTTAAATTTCTCGCTCCTTTTTAGACAGCTTGAATAAAACAGTTTTGACTCTATTGTTGCTTGATGAGATTGATGAAATAATTATTGACGGACAGGAATTTTAAAAAAAAGATTTTTTTTTTCTTTCGCCTAATTTGCTTTCGTTCAAGTGAGACTTAAACATTTATTTATATAATAAGAAAAAAAAAAAACTAGACTTTAATTCGATGTTTAGCTTGATTATAATTATTTTTTGTATTGACCACATTAGGATATATCTAGAAAATAATTCAGCTAATATAAAATCCAATTGAGATGATTAACAGCAGAATAAACTTTTTTGTTAAAATGATTGTCGAAAAAGCAACAGTTAATGACACATTAATGGTTTTTGATTTCACGTTCTTGTCTTTACTTTTTATTGTTCTATGATTTTTATTTCTTTTTATTCTAATCTTTAGATTTTGGTGTCACTTTGATGATGACAACTATGTAAATATACCAACATTAGTCAAAGTTTTAAATGATTATCACGCCTATCACGAATGGTACCTTGGCAAACCCAGCATTTCTTCGCCTATAGAAATGTATATGAATGCGGTAAGCTTTTAATCTTGGAGTATTCATGCATGCCCTTCTACTCATAATTATAATTAATCTATTTGTAATAGTTAATGGTCGAAAATAGTCGTCACTGACATGTAGAGAAGGAATAAAATATGAGATTAATGACAATGGCAAAAAATTCCTGTTTTTAATTCCCTTGCAGCCATTCATGACGAATTTCGGAAGAGTTTGAAAGAAAAACAAGCCGGATTTTGCTATTAATTTACATTTTCGTTCAGAATTTTGAAAGATTTTCTAGCATAAAGTGATGGAAAAAACTTCAAGTCTTGCCTTTGTCGTTCAGTTAAAGACAAAATTCGGTCTGTTTCCTTAAAAAGTCTTCCGAAATTCGCGATGAATTGCTGTGAGGGTATCTTTTCATGGTAAATGCATGACACTATCCAACGAAAAAGAATGTAGTAGGAATAAAATAAAAACTATTTGTCATTTTTTTTTTCTTTCATTTTTTTATATAAGGCGATAATGAGCTTAGAGCGAAATAAAAATCATTCCAAAGATGAATTAAAGAGACGAGAAAATGAGAAAATTAAATTTTGGTTTGCTACTGGTGGTGCCGGATTCTGCATAAGTCGTGCATTAGCAATTAAAATGATGCCTTTGGCTAGCAATGGAAAATTTGTTGCAATCGGTGATAAGATTCGATTCCCTGACGATGTAACGCTCGGATTTATTGTTGAATATTTGTTAAAAGTTCCTTTGACGGTTGTCAATCCATTTCATTCGCATTTAGAACGGATGGACCACATTGAAATGGAAGATTTTCGAGATCAGGTAATGATCATTAGTTTTCAAGTGTTCCTATTATTACTTATTGAGTAAATTTGTAGATTGTTATCTTATTTTCTCTTCTTTATTTTTTATTCTCTTTTGATAGATCTCATTCAGCTATGCACACATAAAAGATGATTGGAATATTGTAAAAGTCGATAGATTTGATACAACAAAAGATCCGTACCGAATTTATTCACTTCATTGTTACCTTTTCCCACAATTTGATATTTGCAAAAACCGTCAATAGTCTGTCTTTCAATCTCTTGTTGTTTTTTATATGAAGTTTTTTTGTGTATGTTTTGCCATTAAAGATGAATTTATTTTCTCACTATTATTATTAATAATGGTGTTTTATCTGTGATCAAAAAAAAAACAGCAGTACTATGAATAACATACTACTGAAATTTCCTCACTAATAAGTAAGTAACATAAATTAGTGTTAAGATTATGATGATAAATTACATAATAAATAAAAAATTAGGAACAATCAAACAAAAATATTTAAGCATTATTTTAATTTTAAAAGATGATTACCAAGCAATACTATTTTATTTGTTTAATTATTAGTAAATAAAATCAAGCAGATATCTTTCATTTATACTTAAAAAAAATTAACATCAAAATCCTTGTTGTTCAAGGAATATTCGTTGGTGAAAAAAATAAGTCAAAAGAATCAGAAAATTAGATTCAAGCATTTTAAACAAATAATAAGAAATTAAGGATTTCAATTTAGAATACCGTATATGGACGAATGTGGCTAATTAGTAGATATGAGATCTAGATACTGAAATATAATGAAGAATTACTCGTGCTTTATTATTATAATACAAAGTTATGTCAATTTATATTTGTGATTGTACATTATGATACAGAGTCTGTGAATTCCAAACTATGCGTCGCGACACATAAATGAAAAAATTTGACTCAAAAGTGTTTTGCTATTCAAAAAAGTTTGGAAGAAACTGTAAAAATTAAATACTAATAAGCGAAATTTGAACAAAAAACTAACGACGAAGAATAGCAAATAAAAAAACATACTTTTGATGGAGAAATTAAAAGATTTAAATCTGTGTTTTCTTTGTTTCTATCTCAATAACATTTCATTTTCAAATTATATTTATTTGTTTTTTTTGGCATGCGGTGAAACAATTTTTTTTTTTTGTTAAGTCAGTTGTTACATTTTTCATTTTGCATACATTCATGTATGTTGATTAATTCAGTGTGGTTTAGTGTCAAAAAATCATTCAAATTGAAAATGGTCGAGTCTGACTTAATCTTGACGATGAATACGAAGAAAAGATTTAAATTCCATTTTACGTCTCTTCGATTATAGCTTAAAAGCAAGGTTGAGTTAAGTGCTCATATATTTTAGCGCATTTATAGAATTTAGTCAATAAATAAGTATAAAATGAATATTTTTATTTTTAATTGATTTATTTAAAGCTTCATATTGCAGACTTGTAAAATTTCTTGAGTTGTTTTTGTTTGCTAAAAAAATCTTAACGACGATCGTCGGCACGAGAATATATGGATGTAGTTACAATCTATATAAGAAAAAATTGAGTTTCTTGTCGTCGCTCTTTATGCCACATTCATTCAGCCTTTTCTTTTCGCTACTCTTGAATTAAGTGGTTTTTTACTATCTTCTCTCATTTTTTGTACAATATGCACCAGAATGCTCTGCTGTATGATTCTTTAAAATTGATCAGTTTGCATTTTTTTCTTCTCTTTCGTTTTCTGCTATTTTTCTTTTAAACCGTTTGAAGAAACTGTTTGTCGCAAAAAAAACGTTGTTGCTATACATCCCACACAAACACAGTCGACTGAATTGGAAGGCTATAAAATACTCATAAAAATATTTAATTTGAGTTTTAACAGCAGATAAGAGTTTTGAATAAAACAACTTATTCTCCTCCTTCAATTGAGGATTTCTTTAAAATGTTGAATTATTAGACGTGAGATTATTGTTTCGTTAAGTATATAAACAACATGTCATTTTTTAAAATAGGGTTACTTCAGGTCAATTTAACAAATCAGATTAAATAAAATATTGTCTTTCTTAATTTTAAATTATTGTCTACATGCGCAACCAAGTTGATATGGGACTAGCTTAACTTGTTAATTCTTGCTCAACTTGAATATAAATATTCGACAGAAGGAATTAAAACTAAGTTAATCTTGACAAATACTCTTGATTGTCAGACTTTAATAAGTAACACTCCTTCTTTGATTCTCCATTTATTTGAACTTGCAAGTTCTGTAGTTTTTAAATACTTATTAATAATAAAAATACAAATATTGGATGTTAAGTTTTGTTGGTGCTAATAAAAAAAATCAAGTTTTAATTCTTTTCAATTCTGTTTTTTTATTATGCCATAAGATATGATTGTATAGACGTCGAAAAAAGAGACAAAAATATTGTTATTTTGGGTTTAAATAATATCTCCTTATTATATTCAATAATAATCTTTGCATCATGGTCATTATCATTGAATTGTTAAGAAAATATTCATATCAGTAATGGTCCTTTTGTTAGTTCATTCAACAACTTTTTTACAATAAAAAACATTTTGTATAAAACAATTTAAATATAATGATAAAAAAATACGCATTGTTCTTTCAAAAATTCATTGCACTTTTTTCAATATTTTTTCATTCAATTATTTTGAACGCGCAAGATTTAAAAATTCTTCGCGTGTTTTTGGATCATCTCTAAATACTCCAAGCATTGTACTTGTTACGGTTTTACTTTGCGTCTTACTGACTCCTCTCATCACCATGCACTGTAAAAGATATCAGAAAATTTATAACTCATATTTCATCAAATATATCGTTAAGTTTTTATGTAATAGGATAAAATATTATTCGACCGTAAATTTATATATTTAAATAGAAATATACTAATTTAAATATTGCAAAAAATTAATTCGTTGTAGATTTATTTTTGAATTTTATGCCACTATTAAAGTCAAATCTATCTTAATAAAACTTAGAAAATTCATTTTACTGTAAGAATTTAAAAGTAAAAAAGAAATAAATATTTAATGTTGTCAAATATTTATGACGCTTATCGATCTTTCCTTTTTAACGTAATTTAATCTTGTCTCGTGCTTGATTTTGCTTCATCGATTTAGTTTTCTTTCGCTTCTTTTTCGAGTTAGTTTTTTGGTTGTAAAACATGTTTTTATCGATTAAATAGCAATATTTTCATCTTTTTTTAAATTTTAAAGGTGCCGAATGAATAAAATGATGTCATAAATGTAGAATCCGAAAAAATAGAAATTATAATAAACTAGCTGTTAACTTGAACGCCTAAAGATCTATCTAGAATATAAATACTGGGGGTCCTCGATTTGAGTAGGTGTTTTGTTCCAGAAAAATCCTATTCAAATCGAATCTCCTCAAATTGGGGACCCATAATATATATTATTCTTTGATGAACACAAATTTAATCCATCGTCTTTGCTTCTTGAAGAAAATTATTTAGCTCTGGATCCAAAACTTCTATCTATAGACCGATCTTTGTATAATTTTTGCAAATACTATTTACTCATCTCTTCATTTCTATTATAATTTGGTATTTGCCCCGCATCATACCCATATTTAGTTGCTACCGATAATTTCACTTGTCAACACAAAAGAATCATGTAATTGCGCTCATTAAAATAAATAAAAGACGAAGATGCTCAAAATTGGGGTTTTTTTCAACAGAATAACACAATAAGCACATTCAGAAGTAGAAAATGAAAATAAATCAAAAGAGTTTTTATAATCAAATAAATAAATGAAGAATGGTTAAAAACAAAAATTAAAAAAGTGTAAAGAAAAATTTAAGAAAAGGAACATCATTGCCGCTCTCATCACTCATTCAGAAAATAAGAAATAAAAAAAAACTGGGGGTACAACGAAATCAAAACAGAGAGCAAAAGAGAATGAAATGAGATGCCAATCTTACCATGTGAACACCTGAAAAGAAAATAAAAGAAGATGTTTATTAGTTGATTCCGTTCCTTATCTAAATGTTTTTCAATGGTTTGAAATGATTTTTATGGTTGTTATTTTGATTGTATCTCATCTTGAGACAAAAAAATTAGAGATTTTAAGAAAAATTCAAGAAGCAATGTTAAGGAGAATAAATTATAAAATATTGTGGGGAGATAAAGCATGGATACGACATGAATAAGCTTTTAACGAAATTCTTTTCTCACCTTCAATAATAACCGCAACACCTGATGGTTGAACGGCTTGAGTTACTGCCACAGCTATTTGTTTTGTTAATCTTTCTTGTACTTGCAACCGACGAGAAAATATTTCAACAATTCTTTTATCCACATTTTATAGACATGAAAACAATCAATCAATCGTTAATATTTTAATTAGATCCATTTAGATTAATAAATACCTTGCCAGTTTACTTAATCCCAAAATTTTTTTGCATGGTATGTAACCGATTGAAACTTTGCCATAGAATGGTACTAAATGATGCTCACACATAGAAAACATTTCAATATCCTTCACCATAACCACTAAAATAGTAATGAAAAGATCATATAAAATTTGTAGAAAAAGTTGCAAAACTCCTCTTGCTTTATCGAGTGATTTCAGCGCAATTTTGACACAGCGATTAGAATTTAATTCGCATTAATATGTGATTAGATTTAAGCGGTAGAAATATATATTTGAATTCCTTAGGGGCTGTTCACTTATTACGTAACGCGAAAAAATGACTTCTTAGACCCCCCCCCCCCTCATAACAAAATTTGTATGAAAAAAATTTCCTTGTTTGAACCGTAACAAAATCTTAGACCCCCCTCCCCCTAAAAGCGTTACGTAATAAGTGAATGGCCCCTTAACGCATTTATCAAGTGATTTTATATGAAATAGAAAAAATCATTAATTCTAGTTTCTAGTCATTGTTTTAACCCGAATAGCACAAGTCGGTTGATCGAAAAAAAATCCGGTGTTAAGCCGGCATGACTCTGGCATGGTGCTAGCTTTGATTTAAATCTAGCACCATGCCAGAGTCACACAGGCTACGTGCCACATTTCTAATCGATTAACCGACTTGTGCCTTTCGGGTAAGAATTTTAACTGTTAAGCGCTTTTTTCAAACGCTAAAACGGAACAAATAAAATGAATTGGAGGTCTTGAAGATGTTTAGGATGCTCAAGTGTGCCACAAAAATATTTTGGATGTTTCTATATAAGATCATACTAAGATCGACGGGTGGCATGCACAAAAAAGTTTTCCATCACTGATTCAAACTGCAATATTCAAAACCGTTGTAAGTGCTCATAAATTTTTTTGTGCAAATTTTCAGATAATCATTAAAAAATTCCCCGTGCCAATATTGATCGTATATTTTTGCTTAACATCCCTTTGAAAATGACTTAAAACTTGTTAATTATTGACACTTAACATTTTTAAAAAAATCGTTGCATTTTAATTGAACATAAACAAAAAAAAATTGCATTTCATAAAGAAACTGGTTGAGCATTATGATAGTGTCTTGAAATGTTTCACGTGTTCATTTAATACATTTAAAATTTTAACATACTTTCATCATGATCTTCATCAAAAATTGCACCATTTAAAGCTTCTTCCAAGCTTTGATCGTATCCTTTTGTGAAATATAACATAGCTTTTGCAGCTCGTTCCGGTGTTTTCAGGAGTCCCTAAAACAAATTTGATTTTCAATTTATTAAAAAGTTTTTCACTCAATTATTTTTCATGTTGTTGTTTATTTAGGTCAAATAAACATTCATGTTATTTTTGATAAATAAAATGAATTTTCAGCTTATCAATATATAGAATATTCACCTGTCTATTAGGATTTTCACCTAGGCTAGATAGCAACATTCGATAAGAATTTGCCATATCTGATATCAAATCTTCTCGTGTTGATGGACGGTGGTCAAGCTCTAAATCATGATGAAATGTACACTTCTCGTGCCCTAATGAAGCAAACAAGATTTAAGAAATCAAAAATGAATAAAAATTCTACACCGGAATTGAAATTTCAATTTAAATCTTGTCAATAAATCTAAAAATCTACGTAATAATGTTATAATAAGGCGTAGCTGTAATATGATATATTTTGAATGATTAACAAAGTGTGATGTCTATCGATGAAGTAATTTACGATGAAGAAAAATTCCCATCGTGATTGTAATTAGTCACCGTTCGTTCCAAGTAAGACAACGTTGAAGAATGAAATTCTTTTTTTTATTCTTAAAGAAGTTTCTGGTGTAAATTTTGATTTGCTTGTAATTACTAAAGTCATTTCAGTTTCAGGAATAATGGCTCTAATAGTTCAATAATTGACATTGAAAAAAAAAGTATTTCTCTGATTTGACAATATTTCTGTGTTATTAATAATTTATTTATATGTCACATTTGGACACCAATAACTGCAATTACTTGTTTTAATTATCAATTCGTGTATATAGATTATCGTATAATTTATGTGCAAAATTCCTGTTTTATTGCAATAATTTTGAGTTGTTGTTGCATTAATTATAAGTGTGTATACATTAAAAGCTGGTTTTTAAATCTTTTTGCTCTTCATTTTCTAAAATGTCGTTGTTGGTCAGTCAGCATTGGCGAGTATGTTTATTTAAAAGGGCAATGTTGTCGTAAACATGTATATAATGCACACATTTATCAAGAGTATTTGCACTTTTACACTCCCGCTGTCACTTGCCAATTGCTCATTAATATGTCATTTGTCTCTCTTTATGAGTTTTAATTTGTTTTTGTAATTAATTCCTATTGATATTATTTTACAGATTGTCTTTTGAGGAAATTGTTTGTGTGATAACATTTTGATCTCATAAGAGAATAATTGCAAACGTCTAATGAATTAAAACTAGGGATTCATGTCGTACTAATTATCATTTAGAAATTAATTTTCGTCGCTATTAAAATAAAGTAATTCAAAAGTATAAATAAATCTGCAATTCAAGGTTTAAAATAATTTAAATCATGACCAAGGTCAACTATCCTTATTTTACAAAATCCAAGGTCTTGTCAAATGTTGATTTGTGGAAACGTACTATTGTTGACAGGGTTGGAGAATTTTAATGACAGATATGTATTTTAATCCGGAGGAAAATCAAATTTAAGTTTTTATGTAAATAAATAAGTATTGAATTTGGAAAAATATACTGACATTGTTGTTGACCAACCCTGAATGCTGTTCGTATTGAGTCATCTCTATATAGAATTAAAATTCAAAAGACACTCACAATTACCTGGTGTTGGAATTGAGCGCGGTGTTTTTGGTGTACCTGGCACATCAAATACATCATCGCTAAATGATTTTGAAATGTGTCCATTTCGCTTAACAGGCATAGGCATAGATGAAGCAGTTTGTCTTCTAGAGTCTTCATTTTCATCATCATTTATGTTGTTTGCAGATGAAATCGATGCTAATGTGAGATGAGAATTTGGAAAATTTGTATCATCAATCGCATGATTTAATTCGTCGGCATCAAAATCTGAGACATCGTATTTACTCATGTTAAGGATTTAATAAAGATGATAAACAATTTTTAAAGCCAAGAGAGAAAAAAATACGAGAAAATGCTATAAACAACACTGTCACTGCGAACAAAAGTTCTATTGGCGCAATCGCAGCACAAGACTGAGATAGAATTGTGGAGATTGCAAACTGTTGCAAAATGAAGAAAAAAAAATGTTTTTTTTTTTATTTCGATTTTTAATCGCGATACATGAAAAAGAGCACTTTCAAACTGTTTCAAGATAAACGAGTGTAATGATTTGACTGAACTATTAATTATAATAATTATTTATATTTGAATAAATGCACAAGTTGATAGGTATTAGAGTAAAACTGTTGTACGAGACTATGTTGACTTTAAAAAATTAAGTCTTAAAAAACTTAAAAAAAAATATTAATTTTTAAACACGACTATTTACAATAGCAAGATCTAAAAAGCAACTGACTTTTGTTTCAACAAACTCATGCTTATAAGAAAAGTCAACACATATTCTCTTCTTGCATTGAAAACCCGACACACAGACTTTTTTCTCTTCTTTATATTTCGACATAAAGTAAGACGACAAGCTACGAGAAAAAAAAATGAGAGAGCTTTATCGAGTTTAAAATAACGCAAATAAAATTTGAGTATACGAAGAACAAAAATCTCAGCAAAATCGCACACACATGAATAAGAAAATATTTTAAGCTTTTGTTGTAGCGAACACGACAACACGTACCATGAAGCGATGAGAAAAAAAATTATTAAGGAGAAAATTTGAGAAAAACGAGCCATAACATAAAAAAAAATTCATTCAGAAATGTTTAACAATTCCACATACAAACGCACCACACTAGAAAATCCTTAACCGCGGAAATTTTCTCTCTCATTTCAAGTTATTTACTCATTCTTGGTGTACGGGGAAGCTTTTCTTTCCCTTGGGTGATAAACTATTTCACAGTGGTTTTCTAAAACTCGAATGAAAATCTCATAAATTTGAATTTCTGTTAAAAAATATAAAATTACTTCTTTCGGTAAAATAAAAAAAAATATATTCAGGATATTATCATAAAATTAGAATTTAACTTGGCTTTTTTTTTTGTCTCATATATAAAAATGATAATAATTAATATTATAATTTATAATCCGAAATGAAAAAGATGTTGTACCGCACTCAAAATATTTGTGCAATGAAAACACATAGGAAAATAAGTTCCTCGTTTTCATCACATTGTGTACTTTGATCACTCATCTCATTAGTGCTTGAATTGAATTGCTGAGATTTCAAGAACAGATTTTTATAGACAATTAGTGAGTAACGACACAGTGGGAAAATGAATATAAAGATAAAGAAAAATTATAAAAGTAAGTGTTGAAAATGATATGAGAAAAAATAAAAAGGAAAGAGCGCGACAGTATTGTTTTGAGTAGGAAGCTTTTCAATGCGCAAGCTCCATAAATAAAGACATACTCTAAATCCTATCCACCAACACAAGTGTCTGCTGCACCCTACAGAAAAATTCCTTTTCTCTTTACCATTTTTGCTTGTGCTCTTTTCAGAATAAAGTCTCCTCACATTATTCAATTTTTTGCAGTTTAGGAAGGATGGAAAAATAGAAATTTTGATAAGAATTAATTTAGTGTTGAGTCTATGATGTTATTAAAATTACTTAACTGAAGGTGTATTTAACTTAAAAGTGCAATTTATGTAAACATCAATTAAAGTTTATTATAAGAATCTGATTTAAATTGTGTAAAGAAAATTATCATTCATTGATTATCAATTAAGAGGCTTATACTGGGGGTCCTCGATTTGAGTAGATTCTATTTGAGTAGATTCGATTTGAACAGAAAATTTTTTACCCACCAAAATATTCGATTTGAGTGGATTTCTTCCTGTTTTCTTCGATTTGAATTGTTTACAAAACAAATATTTTTGATAAAAACATTTCAGAAAATATTTTTAAACATAAATTTTTCTGCCATAAGTGTGAACTTATCATATTGATCGAAAAATCAATACTAAAGTTACAAAATTAAAGTAAAAATTTAAAAAATCGATATAAAATTAACGGTTTTAAAAAGTTCAAATTTAAAAACCCTACAAATTGTTCGGTTAAATAACATTTGCAAGGTTCTCATATTTTTGTTTTGCTTCAAAAACATATTTTTTGTGAATTTCTGTTTAAAAACAATATGAATATGCGTTGAAATAAATTAAGTTATCTAAAACACATAGGTAAAATTAAGAAAATAGGTAAAATGTGCAAAAAATTATCAAAATTTTCATTGTTTTGATACATTTTTTGGACTCTGGAACAAAACATGTGATTTTGTATGGATTCTTTGCCTCGATTTGAATAGATTCGATTTGAGTAGAAATTTTTTGGAACAAAACAACTACTCAAATCGAGGACCCCCAGTACTTTTTAAATGTGTAAAGATAAAGTTCAGCAGAATGAGAGGAGCTTAATTGATAATGTTGAGATAAAAATTGAATTAGATGTTACCAAAAGTTTTTGTTTCGTATAATTTTCTTTACTCTTGTTCTATAGATAGAATGAAACGTTTCTTTCTCTTTGCTTTTCCTCTTCTTGCTCAAAACTGAAAAAAAGAAGTACAGAAAATATTCAAATGCCAAAAATGAAAAGCGAAAAGAATAAAATAAATTAAAATTCAGTGAAATTATTGCCCTTGATATATTAAGTTGACCAACTAATAAGGAAAAAGAAAAATTGGAACTTCTCATGCTGTTTGAATGAAAAATCAGGCCAATTTTTTGTATGCTTTTATGTTTTTCTTTTTTGCTTTCATAACACAAATTATTTTTATGTTTAGTATTATCACAATTTTCCACATTTCCCTCATGTGAAAATAAATAAGAAGGGTCTTGCCTTTAATATCGTGACGTGCTCTTTTTGATTATTATTAAAATATTTCAAAGGAAACAAAATGTTAACAATAATATATTTTACCCCTTTCAAAGTTTTAAAAGGTGCATTGAATTGATCGTAGTGAAGAATTAACCTAAACTTTTGTTACTTGAATTGTTTCTAAGACAAAAAAAGAAAAAGGCTTATTTGCTCATTTTCGTGTGCTATATAAATCGAAGTTAACACTATTAAAAGAAATAAATGAAAAGAGAAAAAAGTTTTTGCAAATTCTTTAAAAAATGTTTTGTGTTCGAAATGGATATGTATATATGGACAAAAAAAAACCTTCTTATATATAGATGTTTAACATAAGTGCTTAAAGGTGTGGACTTGTTATGACTTTGAAATAAAGGAATAAAGGCTTTTGAGAAAATGTCAGAATGTGTAAACAATTTTTTTCCTCTTTTCCGTTATTTGAAGTTCCAAACTATCAAATGTAATATGCTTACCAGGGGCGTAGCTAGATATTTTTCAAAGGATTTTGTAGGATACTTTTATTATGTTAATCGAAAACTTAAGCAAATTTTATTTATGCTAGAAATTTTGTCATTTGTCAGTCTGTTTGTTCTTGTTATTTGAAATGTTTTGTTTATTCAACCACATATAAATTTATGTGTTATGTTAAAAAATTGTTAAAATTATTTTTTTCCTTAATGTAAATATTTGTTAATTTAGTTTCGTTAAAGCATTGAATATTTTAAAAATTCATTAATTCACAAGCATACAAAAGTATTAAAATTATTAAATTTCTATATATATTTATTTTATTGTTCAATATAATTCCTGTCCTTCCAACGAAATTTATATCATTATTGGTTTTGTTTGACACAGATAGAACTTGACACAAAAAAGTAATGCAATGGATAAAAATTGTGCAGAGACGAAAGAGATGAAAAAAATATTAAAAATACGAGAAAGAAAAAAATAGATCCGAAGACTGTTAAACTTACTTAGTCCTTATTTCATACTGTTCTATTAAACGTAAAGCTTAACCACTCAACTCGTTTTCAATATATTTTCCCATAATTTTATCATTAAGTGACTCATTCTTTGTTCCTATAATCGATTTACTCTAAAGGGATATTTTGTATTTCAATAGATTGATGTGCTATTCAAAAGTTGCAGTATACACTTGTCAAGCCTCATCAAAATAATAGATTGTTATCTAAAGTGAATTAGCAAAAGAATCTAAGGATAATGAAGTGAAAATACTTTTTTTTTTGATATTCATTCGTTAAAAAACAAAAAAGAATACGACAAATACTAACCTAAAATAAGATAAAATCTTGAAGCAGACCCGAACAACCCACAATGTAATATGAAGAAATTAAATTTATTCGAGAATATTGTTCAATTATTTAAGACATCATGTGAAAGCAATAAACTTTTATTAAATGTGTGAATAAACCAAGAAAAAGGAATCAAAACGTATCGAAAATCATTCGTATGGAAAATAATACGCATAAAGTTATAACATTAGTCAAATAGAAAGCATAATGCATAATAGCTGTTAGTAAAAAGCCAAGGTGTTGCATTTAATTAAAAAATAATAATAACAAAATAAGTGAAAAATAAATTCAATCAATTTATAGAATAGGAAATAATAATAAAAGTGATACAATGAAGAATGCAAACAAAATCAATATAATATTATTATGCCTGTGTTATGTTACAACAACAATATTAAGTGCGAAGCAATCACAACACAGGTCAACGGCAGTCAACAACTATAACAACCAAAAGTGTTCAATTAGCGAATATACATGTGCGAATAATAAATGTATTTCCCTCGCACAATTTTGTGATAATAATGACGATTGTGGAGATAATAGCGATGAGCCGAGATTTTGTACGCGTAAGTAATTGTGGTTTTTGCTTAGCCATGTATTGGGAAATTCTTAAAAACAAATATTGAAGCAATTTAAATGGATCAACTCTTTACCATTTTCGAATAGTTTTCTTACCTGACACATGATTCATCACAAAACTTTTGTTCATAAATAATATCTGAACCTTACATTTTCTACAGAAATATTAAAATCTATTGAGTCTATTAAAAATGATCTTAAGTAGAGGACTTTACAGCTAATGTTTTAAATTAGTAGTATGTCGTGCTATAGTTAACATGATATATCGATTTTATGATCAGGCAAAGTTGATTTTTGACTTTCGAAGCTGAAATTATCAACTTTCTAGACAAAATTACTTTACTTTTTTTTTTATTCAACTTGTGTAAAACACTAAAATTAAGCTGAAAATTGAAAAGCAACTTTAATCTGAAATAACACAAAATCAAAAGATGCTCTTTTTGCACTCAAAAACATCTCTTGTTTACGCTCAATTATATTCATATAATTTAGGAGAAAATTGTAAAGTGATCACCAAATGAATGGATAAAAGAACAAGAAAAATGATTTGTGGATATTTTATTTTGTTTGTTTGGTCCAGATGGAACCTTTTTTTGAAAGAATGGTGGTATGCTTTGAGGCATTTTGAAAATAAATAAAACACTTAATAATCAAATTTAGTCATTCGTGTGATTTTCTTTAGCACAACATTTCCGATTTTCAATTCATTTCTTCTCATCCGTCTTGTTTTTTCCTTTTTCTTTCTCTCAATTCATACTTTCCATTTCATGACTTAATGAAAATTAAATTTACGTAAAGTGCTTCTTTTATTTTTTGTGCCTGACTGAATCTTGATAAGAGCAAATCAATAATTTTTAACTCATGATTTCTTATGCCCTGCCTTTCGCTTGTTGATTAATGCAAAAATTATTCTGAGTTGAATTCATAATTGAGAATGAGAGAAGAAAAGGATATATGAAAAGGAAATGAAATGTTATTACATATATTGAAAGCTACAAAGAGGTTAGTTTTTCTTCGTTTGAAGAATCTCTTAAAACGCGTTTAAGGTTTCTTTGAAAAGTTTTCTTCTTTCGAAAGGGAAAAATATGTAGGAAATTTCATCGTCTAATATGTTTTATAAGAAATCTATTTTATCAATATTCTTAACCGCCCCTTATATATATGATGTTTTCAAATTTTGACAGGAGAACAATTCAAATATCTTTTTTTTTCACTTCACCTTTTATATTGGTGGTGTAGTATTGTGTACAAAAAATATTCTGCAATGAGTTATTGATTATCGGCGAATGCTTCGACGTTTACAAAATAGGGGCCCGATACGGGCATTTTTAAGCTTCTTTTAAGAAAACTAGTTTTCAATAATGCGCTAAAAATTAGATAAAAAATATTTGGTGTTTAAGCAGCATTAATATTCAGCTGTATAAGATATTATTTGTCTGAGGTGAGATGCTGTGCGACACACAAATGTGCTGCAATATACTTGATGTGTTTTTTAAGTTTTTAAAAGGAGCCACGTGACTTTTAGTATGAAAAAAAATCTTAAAACTCTATCTGTTTAAAAATTCAATCAGATGCTAATGGCAGACTCGACATTTAAACATTTTCAAAATCATCATCATATCTTAAAGGTTAACAGTTTTTTTCTTAAATAAAATTCCACTTTATAAGCTTAAAGTGACATAAAAACAATAGAATATGGCATCAATATAAGATGTCTAAAATATTATTGTAGGATTTGTATAATATATTCAAATTTTTATGAAACAGTATATTGCGACATAAAAATAATCAAAATTCAGTTAATAATAGATTTTTTGTTAAGATAAATTTGAGAGATTACAGTTTGTTCTTATTTAAAATTTCTTAGATTGTAATCGAACATACTATGGAAATATAGGAGTTACGTATCATATGGAGTTGCATCGTCCTAAAGAGGAGAAAACACCATTTGTTTGTCAACTTACATTTACCGCAGCCGGTGGTGTACATGGAGATATAGTTCAGGTATGGGTCAGCAGATTATGAAAGAGTTTTATTTTAAAAAATGGCAGTTGCATACTTGTATTTAACAATATGTTGTTGCTCTCATTTTTTCATATAGATAACACTACTGAATGGATTTACTGTGGGAAAATTTGTGTCGTTTACACACAATGGCTGCCAGGATGCTTATCTAGAATTTTCAGAAGCATCTCGTACTCCAATTGGTGGAATGTTTTGTGGACAATCATGGGGTCCATCCGTATTCTATAGCGAGACACGTTCTCTCGTACTGACTATAAAATTATTTAAGCTTTTAAGAGATCAAAGTGGATATAATTTTGATTTTCGGATAGATTTCAAATTTCTATCAAAAGAAGAATCCGTGGTACGATACGGAGGAATAAAGTCTGAACTTTATGAGAATATGACTAAGTTTGATACACATCATTCATCTAATCTTTTTGACAATAAGCAAATAAATAGAAAATCAAAAGTAAACGAGAATTTTCATGATCGAAATAGCAATAACGAAGACGATGATGATACTTCAGATTATGACAAGACATATATAAAAAGTAATTGGTATGAAAATTCAGTAAACCTTACAAAAAATAAGTTCCAACGTCAAAAAGCTAGAGGAAAGAATGCCACAATCGATTTAAAATATTATCTGGGTGACTTGATTCCAGGCACTTATTGCTCGCGAATATTTAGTAACTGCGATAAAAAATTATGTAGACTTCAGAGTCCAAATTTTCCTGGAACATATCCAAGAAACCTCACTTGCTATTATGCAGTACGTCAAGTAAGTACAATAAAAATGTTTTCGAACTTTACTTGAATTATCATAATTTTCATCAAAATACATTACCTAAAGCTCTTCCCATCTTTTCCTCTTATTTTTCATTTCTCATAAAATATATTCTTACTGAAAAACTTGTACTTTGTCATTAATTATGCTCAATTGAGGGTTAAAAATGTTCTTCAATTTATCATTCTTTTTTTTCATATTTTTTATTTATTTATTTTGTTTACTTTTGCAACATAGCATGACGTCCCACCAGGAAAACATGCACTTATTACTGTCAAGCAGCCAAAGGGTAACCTCGTTTGGATAATGGCAGGCAGTCAAAACTCACCAAAAAATGATAAAGAGAAATTCCGACCACGTCTTCAAACTTGGAATGAATGTGACTTTGTTCAGGTTGGTCAGATTTTGTTAAATTGACTGAAGTTTAAAGTTAACTTTTTTAAGCTTTTTAAAAATTACTTAACATCTCTAAACATGTTTAAGTACATGACGTACTCATTGAATAAAACAATTTAATTAAAGATAAAGTCTTCGAATCAACTAAGCATTTTTGATATTTTATCTGAAAGCTTTCTGGCTTAAAAGTCTCACGATACATACAGAAACGCCAAGTTAAAAAGTATAAAAGCATAAAAACTAGATTTATTTTCATAAGACAAGAGCAAATAAATTTATTTCATAGACTTCTAAACTTTCCTTTTTTGTTTTCTTTTTTTTTTCCTTTCTGCAATGTTTACATTAATGTATATAGGATTTTGTAACAATTTATGATGGCTACACGACACGAGATCCCATTATTTTGAAATTTTGTGGGGGTGGACAAACAGTTCCACAAGCAACTTCAAGTGGACCTGAATTATTGGTTGAATTTACAACAGCACCATATGGTACATTTAATAATCTACAACCGGATACTAATTTATTAGCGTTTAACGGCTTTCAACTAGAAGTAGAAGTATCATTCGTTGACATTCAAAGCCCCACATACACAAAAAGTAAAAGAAGCTGTGAATTTTGGATACGTGGAACTGGCTACGGTATTATAGAAAACCCTCTCCATTCAATTGCTCCTAACACAACATGTTTATATCATTTGCAGGTATGTAAAATTCATCAATAAGGAACAAAACCAATCCTTTCCGAAAAAGATTTCTTAATAATGTTAATGTGCCTGACTTGATTTCTTACTTTGAGTTTATATGTCTTGAGGGAAAAAAAAATCTCTTTTCTCACGAAATGCTTTACATTATGTATTCACAGGGCACAGAGATTACATCACGTTCAATGGACCAACTCCAGGTTAGTCTCAGAAGAGCTGGGAGCATGTCGACAAGTACATCTCGCTTTAAAATTTGGTTATCGATGCTGAAATTTGACTACGCTCCAGTTTATGAGGGGCCCATGGATGAAAATATGTTATTGCAACCACTTAAAGAAGATTGTTCAGGAATGCTTAGAATATTTGATGGCCAATTAAGAGAGCCACCCACATGTAAAGATTTGGACTGTCATATTTATGATCGGAATGACGCTCAACGTATGCTTCGATATGGACTTAATCATACAAACGTCTTAGCAAGATTTTGTCGCGGCTCGATTCCACGTAGTTGTGATCATGTTGTCATGAATTCAAATTATACGAGACCATGTACATTACAAGAAAGCTTCTTATCATCAAATGAGTATGCAACTTTAGAACTGAAAGTGACAGAGTCTTCAGCATTAAGGTATGATAAGCTCCTTTTTACATTCTCTAAATCCTTCATTTTTGTAGTTTAGTAAGCCATAAGGCAACAGTAACTTGATTTCAGCGCTTATTCTTTACTTTTATGTCTTATCATTCTACATTTTCAATTTTCTTTTCTTTACCTTTTTTGCTATTTTCCTTTATCGTCTTTTTTTCCCATAACAACTGTAGGCCGTTAAACTTTAAAATCAACTATGAGTTTGTAGATTTGTACCAAGATGGAATACCTTTCGATAATGATCAAGGTTGCAATAGAAAATTTGTCAGCAACCTAATTGACCAGCAAATGGAGCCGATTATTTTTAGAAGCATACGAAATGTTTTCTTTTTTGGACGGAGTGGCGCAATAAATTTAAAGTAAGTTTAGTTTTTCATGTCTATTCACCTTCTTATTGGTATTTTTTCAATTTCAATAAAACCATTTTAACCCCACAAAATGAATTTTTTTGTTGAAAAACAGTTGCGTTTATCGCTTTGAAGCTCAACGAGGCGAACGAGTGAAAATTGTAGTGCATCGAATGATGTCAGGAAATCGAACGTGTGACACAAAAGCTGAAAATGACACACAAAGATCGTTTTGTTATGGAGACAATTCAGCTAAATTGCAAATTTATGAACGACCATGGCACGATTCTATTATATTTATAAGAAATTGTATTTGTAATTCGACAACTGAATCTGTTTTGCCACTCACTTACGTATCCTCAAGTCGAGAATTAGAAGTACACTTTTCAGCTATCAACATGACACGTTATGACGATCCAGATACATTAAATTTTCAGGCCACTTTCGAATTCATTAAACCGTCAATTCCAACAAAATGTAAAGACACACGAAGGAAATTGGGTAGCGAGGGAGTCATTAGTCTCAATGAAGGAGAGGTAAAAACAAAACAACTATATTCAATGACTCATAATATAAAATTAATGAAATATTCATGAATGATAATTTTTCCCTCAGCTTATTTCTTATTTTCTCAATTTTAATTCTGTTCTTTCTTTTTCTTATCATTTGTAAATGTGTGAATGATTCGAATGATACAGCTTGAATGCAGATCAAAACCATGGCTTATAGAACCATCGACTGGGAAATATTTGTACATTAATTTTCGTGGTTTCTACATAAGTCGATATAATCCGGCTGTAGAATTGCCAATCAATAAATCCATAGCAATGAACGATGAAACTTCTTTTGACTGCCCTACAAAATCTCGTGTTATAATAACGACGGGAGAAAGTAAGTATAACAATGTATGTTTGGGGACTTTATTAACTGAATTTATAAATTATGCTTATACACTCATAAAAATATTTTTAATAATTTGTTACTAAAATCTTATTAAAAAGTTTTTAATGAGAATTATTAAAATTTTAGTAAACCTTATTAAACTTTTAATAAAACTTATCAAATTTTAATAAAAGTTTTTAAAATTCTACAGCGTTGTAAAACTGTTGTAGGTTTCCAAAATTGTAAGGTTTTCATATATTTTATATACTTCACAAACGCTCCAAGAAATGACTTATACAAAAGAATGTCTTAGTTCTCATACAAAGTCATATAAAATTATAAATTTCTTATGAGGCACATTAAGTGCCAAAAATCATGCAAAGTCTTAAGCTTTGAGAAAGCATTTTAGTTAAGACTTGAAAAAGCTCCATACTATAAATTAATTATACTATAAAGCTGTTTTTGTAAAAAAAGTAATCCAAGAAATTTTAATGACTTTTTACTAAAATCCCTAAAATCCATGAACAAATTTAATAAAAATTATAAAAATACATCTTAATAACTTTTTACTAATGTTTAGTAAGAAAATTATTAAAATTTTAACAGTTTTGTAAAATTTGAATGCAATTTTGTAAAACCAAAACGTTTAATAACCCTTATCAAATTTTAGTAAAAGTTATCAAGATGTATTTTTATAAACTTTTATTAAACTTTTTCATACATTTTTAATAAAATTTATCAATTTTTTTTTATGAGTGTAATAGAAATTGACGACAATTTTGTAATCCTTTGATTAATGCTAATAATCCTATTTTTATTTTTTCAATTGCTTATAAAAATGTTTGGATACAACATAAAGGCGTTACAATAACAGCATGTCCACTTTCGGATGATTATAGTAATCGTCATGTTGTTGAAGTATTCAGTGCTGGATGGCATCATAAGTCGATTTTTCAACGTCATGAGGCGTCTCCTGCATTATCCGTTGAATTTCTCACTGATATTTACGACTATAATGAATACACATTGACATGGTTAGAATTATCTCGGAGGCCTCCGCGTGCTGAAGGAATTGGTAAATTAAAATGACACCTTTAACAGGCTTTTATTCAAATTTTTACTTGCATCTTTTACATTGTCGTTACAGAGGACTGTCAGTTCGTATGTCCTGAATTGTTCGCATGTGTTAATGCATCGATATGGTGCGATGGGCGTGTTCATTGTCCATCAGGATATGATGAATCGTTTGTCCATTGTTCAAGAATATTAAGATTACCGGCTGAAGTTTTAGCTGTCATGTGTGTCCTTCTTCTTCTTCTGTGCTGTGCTGGAATAATTTATGTTCACAGGTTGGTGTAGATCCTTTTTATTTGATATTTTATTTCTTCCACATACAGCAAACTTCAAAAAATAATAAATTTTACACGATTTCGATTTTCTTTTTTATTCCTTTTCTTTTTGAATTGAACATTATGCAGAAAAATAAAAAATCACTGCCAACGTAGTTCGGTTCTTCAAACAAGATTGAAGTCGTTAAGTTCTATGGATACGGCTGTTTTTGACGAAAAAGATTTCATTAGCTGACAAAACGATTCTGTGCGATATGTTGAAGTTGATCGTGTGACAACGGTTTAATTTCGTGTGGAAAAATTTCATAAAACAAGTTTTTCTGTTTTGCATCAAATTTGCAAAATCAAACGACATATCGTACAGAAAGTTATATTGAGTAATTTTTCTCATTCTCTCACTTTTCCTCTTTCTCTCTTTATCCTTTTTACTTCCTTTACTTGATTATTATGGTAAATAACTAAGCCAATAATTACAGTAATTCTTTCTGACTCTTTAAATAGAAAGAAAATAAAAGGAAAATTATGATTTGCATGCAATGCGCTATTACGAGTAATTAAGCTGGCTAATATTTTGTTATTACAAAAAATTAAAATTAAAGCACATTTCCAGTGCTTTTTCATTAATTTACTTTATCGTTGCTGATGATCTCTTACAGAAGTTATGGTTGTTATATTTATAGACAATTCTCAAATATTACAATACTTTAACATTAAAAAACGTGTTAAATTATTTTCATTCACGTTTTCAAAATGATAAGAGAATTGAAAAAAAGCATCAAAGCATCGTTACTAGTCAGCGATTCTCAATCTTTTATATTTTGTTGAATTATATTATATGGCATATGGGTTTTCTACAAAGCTCTATCTAAAGTTTTCGAATACTTTTCACCTCAAAATGTCTTTTCAAAAGTTTATTTTTATGACATGTTATTTCATGAAAAGTGAATGCACATTGTTGTTAAACACATAAAAATTTTAAAAAAAGTTTAAAACTCGAAAAAATCGACCAAATTATAAGAGTATTAAGAATAAAGATTTTAGAATAGAATATAGAAGTTGAAAAGTTTGAGAATCACTTAGCTAGTAGTTGTTTCATTTGAAATTAATTTTTAAAAATTTAAAAAAAATGTTTTAAATATATTTAACTTGAATAAGTGAAAACTAAAATATTTAAAACTAAGGAAAGAAGACTTTTTATAAAAAAAATTACATTAGCGTTAAATTTCATTGAATGAATTAAGTAGCCGAAAAAAGCAACGGATCTGCTCTCTATAAATTAACGAAAATTAAGAGTACTTTGTTAGAAGAGAACATAAATCAATTTTTAAGGATTTATTTATTTATGAATTAGAAAAGAGTCATTAGTGCTCGAGATATATACTCACTCGTAAAAACTTTTCGTCAATACATATTTACACAAAAAAAGTAATAAATGAAGGAAATGAAAATTATATTTAGGACGATGAAGTAAAAATCGAGATTTACCGATTACCTACAATCGTTATTTTCTTTATCTTCCAATATTCTTTATTGTTAAACCTTAGTAAAAAAGCCGTGAAAAGGAACGTATATTATCCCCAATGATTTCTCTTTTATTGTATTGAATAATAAGAAATTGTAAATTCTATGAATTGAGCTTGAGCACAAAATCAGTGCGTGACAAGAATTGAACTTAGAAAAAAAATAATAAAAAAACTAAAGAAAAAATAAATTATTTTCTAGTCAACAATTTTATATTACACACATATTTTTTATGTATACAAAAGAGAAATATTACAGATGTTCTCAAAACGTCTTAATCGTGTATTGAACCATTTTTCCATAGTAAACCAGATAATATAAAAAGATGAATACCAAATAAAGTTTACAAATTTTTCCTTTATCAAAAAGTAGTTCAAAATTAGTTTTATGTTTTAAGGAGCAGACTTCTAGATAACAAAGAGGCGATTAAGTGATTTTTTCTGAGCGGTGTGGAATCTTGAATATTAAACGAAATGGATACAAATCCGTTAGTGTGTGAATAAGGCCTGTATCCCGGGATATGTAAAACATCTTTTTTGTGGGAACGTGGGTATGATTGCCTCCAAAGTTTGTTCTCTCACAAGTTTCGTCTACCTTGTTTTTTCGTTATAAGCTAGTAGCTTAGGAGAATAAAAAATTATTATTTTTGGTGACTAGTAGCTTTGAAACGAGTAGTAGCTTAGTAAAAAATCAAATTGATTCATTTCACTTGCAATGTAATATTACATTGTAATTGCTTTTTACAGTTCAGAAATAGTTTAATTGAACTATATTTTTGGAAGTAGTTTAGTTTTTCAAAAATGTTCAATACATCTTAGATACAAATAGAGATTATGACGAAAAATCAGGGTAGTAACTTTTAAAATATAATTATTTCTGGGATTGTTGAGTAAAAAATAGATCTTAGATTATGAGTCATAATTTATGACCTTTATTTGAACTCAAAAAACAGAGACAACCATTGCAGATTGCATGTTTGATAAACCTCAGAAAAAAGTATATAAATAAATATATATAATTCATAATGAATTTAAAATCATCCTTTTCTTTTAATATATGATACATGCCTTTTTTCAAATTGATAAAAAATTCAGATAATTTCATCAAATAAATAGCAAAAGAAGATTATCAAAAAATTTACAATTTGTTAAATATTTAAATCCGTATTACCACGTTTTTATATATGTTTTCATCCACGATTTTGCTGTTCCAAGCCACCATCCAAACTAAATTTATCCCTATTATTTCTATTGTAAAATTGGTTGGTAGTGTAAACTTAACGACCATTTTATTCTATGAAAAGATATATACATATTAATTAAATTTTCATCATGACTGAAAAATTCATTGCTATTAAAACGAAATTAAATAGTTATATATAAATTAAAATAAAAAAAGACAACTTGTACAAAAAATGATTTCTTTCGTCGCTTTTTTTAAAAAAATATTTATATTTTACTCTTTATAGAATGAGAAAGTTTAAAGATGTTTAAAAAAAACTGATTGAATTAAAAGCAAATAGAAAAATTATATTTAAGAATGTGAATGAAAATGCAAATTTAAGGAAATTGAATTAGAGCTAGCTGTTGAACAAATGAAAATGGCTATTTACATGCTAAAAGTATGTTTTAAATTTTGTTTATCTGATCCACTGATTGAAGAAAAAGATTTATCAAATTTTATATAAAGTTTTATTTCAAGTGATTTCAGAAAGCTTTTGAAGCACTGGTAACAAATTGAAGAAAATCTAAAGTCAAAATTTTAAAATCAAAACCATACAAATCTTGAATAAATTATCATAAAGGATCAGATAAAATTTTTGTAAACTATTTAAAAAAGGTCATTAAAAATCAAAAAATTCTTAAAACAGTTACAAAAGTAGAAGAAAATTTTATAAAAAGAAAACTTAGTGTATGCGAAAATAAGTAGAAAGTTGTAAGAGTAAAAAACGATATGAAAAACTTTTTTAAAAGCAAAAAGGAAGAAATTCTTAGAACAAATAACATATTTAAATTAGAACTATATTTTTTGCTTGCTAAAAGGATAGAAATTTTTGGAATAAAATTATTTCTTATAATAATAAATTGAAAGATTTTAAAATAATTTTCCAAATTTATAGACCCTATAATTTTTAACATTTACTTACATTAACAATAACTACTGTAGATAACAGATTAGCTTACGTCCTTACATAAAAAATTAAATTACAGCAGTAGTTTGTTGGGCTTAAATAACATAAAGCTGTAAATACAGATGGTGTTTATAGTGTAGATACACTATCAGCTGGATCAACTTTTTTCAAATTTCGCTGGTCTCGAATATATTTTTTCTTTCACAAAAGTGATGTTTTGAAAACTTTTAACTTCTTTGCAGTTTATCTTTTTAATCGTGGGAAACACAACTGATGGAAAATTGATGAAAATTTTTCATGGCGGTGGAATGTCGGTAGAATTCACATAGCAGTTAACAATTGGTGGGAAGTTCACATCAATTTTTTCCGTTTTAAAATGTATTCTTTCTTTCTCCTTTGATTACTATACTCATTACAAACCAATTTTTGTCCCAAACTTTTTGTAAAATGAAAAACCACCAAAATTTGCGAGAAATTGATCCAGTTAAAAGTTCAGCTAAGTATTTGTCTCAGCTATAAATACTGACTGTAAAGTATGTTATTTAAACCCAACAAACTACAGCAATTGAATTTTTACATAAGGACGTAAGCTCATAAAAAATCTACAGCTGTAATTAGATTAATAATGTTAATGCTAAGTTGTACGGGGTAATTTCATAGAACATTTAAGACATACAATACAGATAATTATCTTTTTTAAATGGTAAATAAATGAACAACAAAATCTCAATCTTCAAAAGTAGAGAAAATTAGTAAAATTAATAATTTTATTCCATAGTTTCTACCTTCTTAACTCAAGGTTTTCAATTTAAATTTATGATTTTTATGAATCTACTTGAAAAAAAAAAGCTCAAGCGGAATTTAAGCAAGCAGATATGCCAACATGAGATTTTGCGTTGCCAATTTTTAATAAATTTTACCTTATATTATAAAAAAATTATTTCTGAAAATGTATGTAGCATATATTTGTCTTCCAAAAGAACTAAAAAACAAAAGAAAGAAGAAATTGTTCGGCATTTATTCACAAAGAGCTATATCAGCGTTTATAAAATTAAAATGATAAAATGGAAACAAAAAAATTAAATTTGAGAAAACTGAATAAAACTTGATAAAACTAAAAAATAAAAAATTAAACCTAGATGACTTTTAATCCTACAAATTCTGTGATTATGTTTAGAATTGTTGTCTATAAAGTTTCAGTTCAACGGTTAGTCTTTTAAATTTATGAGACTTGTAACACTGACTTCAAATTGAACATATTTTCAAATTCAAAATGATAAAACAATTTTTTTATATTTTTTGACTTTCCAGATGCTGCAAAGCTTTTTTTCTTTATTTTAGCATAAATAAGATTTAAAAAACATCAAACATTTAAATCATATTTTAAACAAATATTTTTAACAGTGACTGAGGATAATTCAAAATACTTTTTGAGTATTATTTAATTAATTTGATATACTTAGAGATTTAAAATTTAGATATTATAAAGATATAAAGATAAATTATCTAACATTCAACTACTTTGTTTTATTAAATTTTTATTCCATATAAATCAACATTCCATTCCATAACCAACATATTTTAGTACCTTGTAGGAAATTCACAATTATCTTTAATAATGACATTCACTGCATGTGCTCAAAAAATCATTTTATTTAAATAAACTTTGTTGTATTGATTTAAAAATTTAAAATTGTCTACTCCATTATAAATTTTCCTTCTTTATATTTTTCTCTATAGTGCATTATTTTAGGGAAGTTTATCAACAATAAAATTGATCATGAAAAACTAATAAATATATTTTCTTTAGGTTTTTTCTTTGATCTTGTCATACATTATGTCAAAGTATTATTTTTCTAGCACTCTCTTAAGAATTTTCAAAAATCAAATGTTCAAATTCACTAGAAAATTTCTCTTATTCATGAATTCAAGGTAACGTATGTTTAATTTTTATTTAAAAATAAGATCAATCATGCTGTAAAGTTGAACAAATTTGTTTAGAAAATTCTTATCACATTTTCTCTCCTTTTTCTTCTAAATTTAATAAAACATTAGAGATTGTAAAGGTTTTAATAATAAAACTAAATTCATCATAACATAAATAAAACGGAATATAAATTATCGCTACTATGCAACACTTCGTGTGTAAATAGATATATAGTTATAATAATTAATTATGATTGATGTGACTTTTTTCGTTAATTTCCTTATAAACGATGACTTTCATAGAAAACTTGTTTAAATTAATTTATCCTACATATGTATACTTATACTTTCCATTAGAAAAATTTCTTCCTTAAATTACATGAAATGGCGTTGGTAATTTCGGTTCCGATTTTTCGTCAATTTGTTAAAAATTCAAACTGGTTGTTGTTCATTAAGAAATATTTTAAAATAATACTAAACTTTTTAAAAATTACCCAAAATGCATTTTAGAACTTTTTCATTTCGGATTCTAGATTCACTCACGAAAAAAATTAATTTTAGAAATGTTTTTGAAATAATGTTTCTTCGAGTTTTATTTGAAACATACGAAGCACCATGGCTTTAAGAGAAATTGAGTTTTAACAACTTGACTTTTAAATATTTCAATTAGTTTTTATCTATCATTACATAATGTGAATTTAATTTAAAAACTCTTTAAATTCACCACAATTATCATACACATTTTTGGTTTTATTTTGTTAAGCAAAATGGTTTACTGTAGTAATTGATTGTGCATGTTTATTCAAAAATACAAGCAAATACTGATACACAATTGAGAAGGCATGAATCGCAACAATTTTTATCCCTATCATCAGATTGTTTAAGAGCATACTTTCTCATTTTCTTTGGATAATTTTTGTGATTGCTACGTTCTGATAAATGCATAGGCATTGGTGGAAATTCTGGTCGATGACTTTTAAAATTTTGCAACATAGAAATTTGTTCTTCTGTTAAGTTTGAATTTTTCTTTTTTGCAAAAAAATTTTCAATAAGTTGAATTTCTGCTGCATCAAGAAGATTTATTCGATCTCGACATTTCTTGAAATCATCATACTTTACATTAAGATATCTAGGTGTATAAATTAATCCACCGAGTACCCGACGACGATTTTCTTCTGTAGGTTCTATCATTTTTCTTCCACACTCTTTACTACTCCATTCAGCCAATAATTCAAATATAATTACTTCGGAAGGTATCTGGAGCGCGTCTCTCTTAATAATAATTTCCAACTCTTCAAAACGTAAAAGAGTCATATCAGATTTTGGTAGAATACACGCAGCATGTTGATCAATAAATTGAAGAGTATTATAAAACATTGCATTTAAAAATTCCTCAGCTACAACAAGCGGCTTCGGCCTATTAGTAACAACTTTTTGTACTATGGACGTATTATAATATCTTAAAGCTTTAAAAATATCTAATACATTATCGACGTTCAATTTTAAATCTAATTCTTTAACGCATGCTATCTCTAATTCATGACATTGAAACATGGATGCAAGCTCCAAAATATTAAGTGTATTTTTTATGTCGTCATTAAATCGAATAAACTTAGTTTCAATGAAGCGAATTAGAGTCTCGAAATTGTGGGCATTTATATTACTATGATTGATTGTGAATCTCTCGGTGCGTACCATTTTTGATAGTTCTGTATTGGAATTTAAAATTGATAGTCTATCAGCACGAACACTATAATTTTCTTTATTTCCGAGAATTATAAAATCGACATAAGATGATTCATTCCTTGAAACTTCATTCAATGGTGGAGCTGAAGGTTGTTGTTGTTCTTTTGAGCTTTCTTTGCTCTCTTTGTCATAAAAGGGTTTTCCCATGATTATGTTTACCGCTTTGACAAATTTTTAATTTGCTGAATTCTTGTGTGTTTAAAGTCTAAAATGGAAATTGCTGAAAAAAGGTTGAAATAGGTAAAATCAATTATTTGGCATCAAAAATTCTTCAATTTTATAAAAGTTAAAACAAAGAAAAAAAGTTGGTAAAAATTCATTTAAGCTAGAACCCTACAATTCCTTTTCATGCTCAATATCCATGACATCTTTAATTATAGTTGGAATAGCTTTAAAAATATTTCCTGGTGACAAAAAACCTTACAGGGAATCCAAAATTGTCAGAAAAGTAAAGTTATAATTTTTGTATGAAATTTATGTTTCGCAAAACCAAAAACTAATTCTGTGAAGAAACAGATAAAGTTTTAGCCAAAATTTTGAAAGTTTCACGCGACAAATGGATCAAAAAAATTTAAAAATTGATACTCAAATCAAAATCAAAGCACTTAATCAATCAGTATTTAAGACAACTAAAGTGTGCTAATTACATTAATCTTTAAGATATATTCAGTGTATGTTTAAGACAAGCTGAATTTATTTTTTAACTATTACATTATAAAGCTCCCATGATGTTTAGTATTGCGTGATATCTCGTCGGTAAAATTTATAAAAAAAAGCAAATTTATAGAACAATTTTATGTGATTATTTTCTTGTACTTTTTATGGTAAAAACTTTATACACGAAATCGTTTTTTATCACTGCTCAATATTTACTTTTCAATTACTCCTAAAATAATAAAATAATATTTAAATGATTATCAGAGAACACAACAAAAACGTTTCGAGCAATTTACCAATTACAAAAAAAAACTAAAATTAATTTAAATTAATTAATGTAAGCTAACAGCTGATAAGGAATGAATTTGCTTGGAGATAACGATACAAAGAAAATTATCTAGCAAACAAGATGCACCAACAATATTATAGAAGAAGTAATAATTGATTTTGAAAATATTTTGTCAAAGCAAACAGAACTTGGAATCAACTTGGAGTATTATAGACTTTAATATGATTTTTTTTTCTTAGTGCAATAGATTGTTATTTTTTCCCACTCTCACTTCTGTTTTCCATTCAATTTTTTTGTTTGCAAACGTGACAATACTATCAGCAGAGGAGAAAGGAAGATTAATACGCAGCTGCAGAATCGACAAGTGTATTAATATTATATTTTGATATAAATTTTTTTCTGCTATCATAATTAATAATTAATGAAAACTTTAGAAATATGAGAAATATTATTCAGCCATGACCAAGCGTTATGACAAAAATTTTCATGATTTTTCATAGAATTTTCCAAATTTACAGCAAATCTTCTTCTTGACCTACTTAATATTTTTCCACAACAACATTTCCTTAGTTTTATTACACCCTTCACATATATCTATCTCTTTCTGTCTCATTCATATGATGCATGAAAAACTTCCATTTTCCCATGACCTGATAATGAAATTTTTTTCTTTATTTTGCCAACTTTTTAAAACGATATGTTTCATATTCAAATTCCAAAGTTTTTGCGAAAATTTAAGATCACTGAATATTCTCTGATGACTCACCGTGAAATAATGAAAATATGACTCAAGTTTATAACTTAAAATATATTTTTTAAACACACAATATTGTCTCTGGTTGAGAATGAAATGATGATGGTGCCTTCTAAAGAAAAACTGAGGAAATGAAAATTTTTCTTCTTTTTCTTTTCACGAAAAATTACAAAACACGGTTTCGACATAATTCGGGAGATTTTTTCTGTAGCTTCGTATTCTCTCGGTCATTAACAACATTCAATAAGTTACTCAATTTCAAGCGTGTTGATCCCGAAAGAAAAAAGAACTATAATAATATTTACAGAATTGCGCACAACCGACAACCTGTTCGGACTGAATCATTGATATGTTGAGCAGATTTAAAAATGACTTTAAAATAGTAAAAGAAATTTTTTTCACTCACTTAATGCACGTATCTCAACATATTTATTTTTGGAATGACACTTACTGTTGCAATTTGTTTCCATAAAATTTGGCGCCGTTTTTTGTAATTATAATTTTGACTGATACAGTGGCGTAGCAAGAACTTTGTCTGAATTAAAATTTGTTGCTAATTTAAAATATTGAGTAAGATCCCGGTCGTCCCTTCTCTATTTTGGAGTGTTTTCAGTGAAGACGTTTTTGTTTTGCTATGATATTGGACTGATTGTAATTATCTAATGGTTATTATTTGACAATAACGTAAGTCGTGATGTTTTAATTTACATTAGAATTTTAAAATAAATTCTATTCAAATAATTTTATAAAATATTAAGTTAATACAAAAGATGAATAATTTTACAGAGTCACAGATGCTGATGAATAATTTACATAAATATTATGAATCCTATCAGAATGAAATCATTAATTCTCACTATCTATTGTAATTATAATTCAAATTGTGACTGCATAAAAATTATTAATAGTTTTGCTCTGTATAAAACAATACAGTTGGGCGTACTCAATAGTATGAAGATTTCAATTTTGTTATAAAGAAGCATCCGTACAATCCAATTTATTTGTAACCAGGAAGTCAATACTTTTTAGATAACACCTTTTTCATCACGTTTTATTTATCACAAAAATGTAAGTTCTACCATAAAACATTAATACAATTTAATAGTTTAATTAACAGTTGTCGGAAATTTTGGTTCCGAAAAAATTACAGCTGCCGCTAATTTATTGATTCTTTTTTTAAAGGCCGAAATTTGTTATGATAAAAAACATTGATTGATGTCGCATAGATTATTAATACAATCATGATAATTTTTAAGCTTTTATTAAAATAATTTTGAGAAATATTAAAGCTTTCTTAACAGTCAAGAAGTTTATAAATTCTAAAAGTTTCTTGCATTGTTAATATTTTATAGGAACAATAGTAACGTCTTTTTCAATTTTGAGCATGTCTCGTGGTTATTTGGTTTCTTTGAATATGACCCAATTATTTGTCTGTACATGATATATTGTCACAATGTATCAGAATTGCAATTCTTACACATTTATTATAATTCCTAATTTAACTTGTTTTTTCTAAAATAAAAGTTTAAATAAAATTAAAATAATTCAAATGTTAATGTATAGTTTTGTTTAAAAACAATAAAAAAGTGGAGAATACAAGCATTGAGGATAATACTAAATGGTCCCCAAATTTCATTTACAACACTGCATACACTTATAAGAGATTCACTTGTTGATAACTTAAAATTTTAATATTTTAAAGATAAAAATAAAGTATTTAGTAGCTTATAATATGAGTAATTGAAAAGTATATATCAATAATTATAAATTAGTCAAAGTTTCAATGGAAATATTTGTAAGATGAGGAAAACATTGTGAAACATATGATTGTTCAAATTAAAATTTGTGATAAATTTTTTTAAACTTAATGGTTTTTTTGAAATAAAAGTTTGATAAAATTTAATCATTAACCAAAAAAAAAGTGCCTAAAATGATGTCTCTAATGAGTGTCCCCAGCTTGGGCGAGAATGAACAAATTTGCAATTGCCTGGAGCGTGGAACGATGATAACAAAATACTATCAGAAAAAGCGGCCCGAAAAGAAATTATTAAGCCTACGACGTGAGACTAGACAGATTTTGGTCAATCCAATTACAGCGGCAACAACGTCATCAACATCATCATCTAGCAATGCATCACGTAATTCTTATGAGTTTTCACTTGAACTGCGTGAAATTAAGGAAATTCGTTTTGGCAAAAATTCTAAAGATTTTGATAAATGGGAAGAGAGTAAAAAAATCGATTATCAGAAATGTTTTGTGATTCTTTATGGAAACGAATTCAAGCTCAAAACATTTTCAGCAGTTGCACATTCGGAAAAAGAATGCGATATGTGGATTAAAGGCCTAAAGTATATGCTTAGTGATACAATCAATTCTCCATATCCAATACAGGTCGAAAGATGGCTCCGAAAAGAATTTTACGCAATGGAAAACAACAATAAAGCGTAAGTTATTGTTTCCAATGAAATCTACTAACATTTGGTTCACTGTGAAAAAAAATCTCATAATTAATTGAATGAGTAAACACATATTTTTTTTTTCTAAATGCTGTTGTTTGCTTTTAGCGTGACGTTGAAAGAGGTGAAGGCATTTTTACCCAAGATCAATTACAAAATATCGACATCGGATTTAAACCGACATTTTTTAGCTGTTGACACGCGTAAAAGAAATGAGATCGGATTTGATGATTTTACACGTCTCTATCAAAATTTGATTAACGTCCCGACATTTTTATTTGAATGTTTCAATAGTCAGATGCCTTATTCCGAGAACAGTGAAACAGTCTCGTTAAAAGAATTTCAACGATTTTTATTGAATGAACAAAATGATGAGAAAGCAAATGATGATCAATCCATATCGAATTTTATTCAAGACTTTGTTCAGGACACACAAAGAGAAGTGCAGGAGCCTTATTTTACAATCAATGAATTCGTGGATTATTTATTCTCTAAACAAAATGAAATATGGAATGGCAAGTGCAATCGTGTTTATCAAGATATGACAAAACCACTTTGCGATTACTGGATATCCTCGTCGCACAATACATATCTTTTTGGTGATCAGTTTTCTAGTGAATCCTCAACGGAGGCATATGTACGTGCTCTACGTATGGGATGCCGATGCATTGAACTTGACTGCTGGGATGGTCCAGATGGTCCACTTATTTTTCATGGCCATACATTTACCACTAAAATAAAATTCAAAGATGTCATCAAGACAATCAAAGAACATGCATTTGTAACTTCACAATTCCCACTCATTTTGTCAATTGAACAGAACTGTACGTTGCCTCAACAACGAAGGATGGCACAGTTGATGTTAGAAGTTTTTGGTGATATGCTATTAATACAACCTGTTGAAAAAAACGAATCAAAACTGCCATCGCCGTATTCTTTAAAGAGAAAAATTATTTTAAAACATAAGAAACTTGTGTATTATGAAGGAGCAAGTCATAATGCTTTTTTCGTTGATGATTCAAATGGTGTAACTAGAAGCGAAGTTCAACTTCGACAAGATGATAATGAACTAGATATACGTAATACAGTCAAGAATGGAGTTTTATATTTAGAAGATCCTGTTGACAAAGTCTGGAATCCTCATTTCTTTGTTTTGACACCAAATAATAAAGTATTTTACACTGACAGCTACAGGTAATGACAAAAATTCATCGAAATATCTTTAACGGTTTGAAAAAATTTGAAAGCTTTTAAAAAGTTTTGAATTTAAATAATAACGGATTCTTATTTAATGTAATATAGACTCGATAGAGATGATGCACGTGATGAGGAAGCAGAAAATTTGAATAGGCCAAAAGAACAAGCATCGAACGACGAATTGCATTTTGGTGAAAATTGGTTTCACGGAAAGCTTTCAGGAGGCAGAAATGAAGCAGAAAAGTAACGAAAAATCATTGAGTAATTTGATTTGCTAACCCATCAAAATTTTTCTAGTTTGTTACGTCAATATTCTCATTTGGGTGATGGTACATTTTTGGTGCGTGAATCTGTTACATTTGTCGGCGATTATTGCTTATCGTTTTGGAGGAAAAATAAGCCAAACCATTGCAGGTTGCTTAATTTATATATTTCGCTAGTCAACAATCTTTAATTAATAATTGTGCTTTCCACACACATTTGCTTGCTTTTCCATATTCAGGATAAAGATAAAACAAGAACGGGGTAGCACAAAGTATTATTTATTTGAAAATGTTTTGTTCGACAATCTCTACAGCTTAATAATGTATTATCGACAAAACATGTTGCGGTCTTCCGAATTTTCAATAACTTTAAAAGAACCCGTACCTCAACAAAATAAACATGAAATGTGTGAATGGTATTTCGCTAACACCACACGCGAGCAAAGTGAAATGATTTTATCTCAAATGCCAAATGATGGAAGTTTCCTCGTACGCCCAAGTGACAAAGGACAGAACACCTACGTTATATCATTTAGGTAAATGTTGCGTATGAAAAACTTTAACATTTTTGGTAAATTATCAATAAACGTAAATTTTGGATATCATTTTCGTAACAGAGCACATCAAAAAATTAAACATTGCCTTATAAAAAGTGAAGGACGACTATATGAAGTTGGAACAATGAAATTCGAGAGTCTTATTGACCTCGTTAATTTCTACATGAAATTTCCACTATATCGCAAAGTAAAATTGATTTATCCGGTCTCTAAAGACATAGCAAAAAGAATGGGAGATATCTCGCTTCTTGATGATGACAATGCTTATACATCTTCTGGATATATGGACCCGTCAACAGTTGCAAGAGATAAAATTACGGTTAAAGCTCTCTACGATTATAAAGCACAGCATGACGATGAACTTTCGTTTTGTAAGCATGCTATAATTACTAATGTTGATAAAAAGAACAATGAACTTTGGTGGCGCGGTGATTATGGTGGCAAAATACAACACTATTTTCCAGCAAATTATGTTCAAGAAATAAACAATCTTGATAGCCTCGAAGTTGATGAAAATTCAAATGATTCTGTATTAGGGAATCTACAAAAAGGTTCTATTGACGTAAGTGGAGCAATTGTTGATCTCGCATTAATCCCAGGTGCTGAAATAGAATGGATTCTTCGTATTCAAACGCCTTCAATGCAGAATATATTTGAGGTAGGAGCACAAACTAAAGAAGCTGCAATAGAATGGCGCCAAGCAATAATGGAAGCTGCACAAAATGCAAGTGTTTTAGAGAATGAACGTCGAAAAATGGAAAGAAATTCAAAAGTTGCAAAAGAAATGTCTGACTTGATTATTTACTGTAGAAGTGTTCCATTTAAGAATGCTGGATGGTTGTTTTATGAGATGTCATCATTTGCTGAAACAAAAGCTGAAAAATATTTCTTACAACAGGAAATGAAGGTAAAGTTTGTTGAATAAATTCTTTTAAAATATTAAAATAAAATTATACAAAAAAAAAATCTCTAAACAGAATTAAATATTACATAACATTTTTATTAAGCTCTTCTTACGTTACCACCGTAATCAAATAAGTCGTGTATATCCAAAAGGCCAACGACTCGACTCATCAAACTTTAATCCAATGCCTTTTTGGAATATTGGTTCCCAAATGATTGCTCTTAACTTTCAAACACCTGATAAGCCGATGCAAGTTTTAATGGGAAAATTCCGAGATAATGGAGGATGTGGTTACGTGTTGAAACCCGAATTTATGTTAAAAGATGATTTTGATCCAAATGACTCTGCATCTGATGGCTTAGATCAAGTTCTTGTTTCAATACGTATAATAGCTGCTCGACATCTCTTTAAAAGTGGGCGAACAAATATATCAAGCCCATTGGTTGAAGTGGAAATTCTCGGCGCACCTTACGAGGTAATTTAACTTAATTAATATTACATTTATAACAGTGCTTACTGTCGAATTAACTTAATTAGTATTTTTGTTCTTTTTTGAAATGTTGAAAACATTTTCAATCTAATAATAATAATTAATGTTCAAGACATAAGTGATAGATTGAAAAATTAAAATAGCAACACTATTTTGCTACTCATAAGCAATTTATTTACTTCTGTTTTTTTTGTGCTTTAGAAATTTATTTTGGAATTGAGAAACAATTTGCTTATTAAATCAATTTTGTCATTTTTCAGACTGGCATTAAGCATCGAACGAAAGCTATTTCGGATAATGGCTTTAATCCGATTTGGAATGAAATATGTGAGTTTCGCGTTAGAAATTCTGCATTTGCCTTATTAAGATTTGAAGTACAAGATGAAGGTAATTTTATGGATGAGTTTTATTATAATCTTGAAATTTATGTTTTTTCTTGTATAAATATTAATGTGAAATAATATTTGATCAATAATAGATATGTTTGGCGAGAAAAATATCATTGGGCAGGCAACTTTCCCCATCAATTGTTTACGTACAGGTTACCGTAGTGTACCATTAAGAAATAAATATAGCGAGGAATTGGAATTGGCAGCACTTCTTGTGCACTTCTCAATAAAACAAGTCAAAGAGCATTAAGCTAGTATAAATAATTGTCAAACTAAGCATTTCTCCACAAAACGCAATTTGAATGAGTCATATTATTTACACAGTCTAATACATTTCATTTCATAAATAATAAAAAAAAATATCACTATAGTTATATTAGTATTGTCTTCATACGTCAGAGAAGTATAAAACAATTTATGTTATAAAATGAAAATGTTTAATCATAATTTATATGTTTACAGTTTATATCAAAATAAAAATGCTAATTATGATTCAGAGAAAATAAAAATTACTGTCAACAAGTTTATTTTCTTCTTAATAAAATTATACTATACTCTTTCATCAGCTCAATTTATTCAATTTTATATCGACATAATTGTCGTATCGTGAATGAAATGTCGTTGAAGAGAGTGTGCATGATAATGCATTAATTTCGATGGAAAAAAATTCTGCATATACATATAATCTAACATGCTTTTAACGAACAACAAGATTAAATTTAATTACACACGTTTTATTGCCAATGTAAATGATTTGTGTGCATATCAAATCGAAGATTATTCGAGCAAACAGCATGGGCATGAAAGCTTACAAAAAATATATCAGTAAAAATCCATGAATTGTATATGTACTGTTTTGATCAGCAGTTCATTAATTAGTCGTCAATTTCTTTTTAATATAATTCAATTAAGTCCACTTGTAATTTTAACAACTTCATAAAAAAATTAATTTCTGATTTTTAATACTCACTTAAAAGTTATCATTGCAAGCAATCTCGTTTCTCTTAAGTGTTGTGATCTTTTTTTCTCGTTTTTTTTAAAGTAAGCAAAAAAGATCTGAAACGCAATATTTATTGTTGACTCGTATAATTCCCAGCGGGTGTATGAGCATTATTATTAAACGGAATTTTATTAAGTTTTAAAATTCCTCAATTATTATTTGGAAAAAAATTATGATCGTGTCTTTTTTTAAGAGAAAATTAAAAATCGCGACAACATTTAGTATTCAATTTAAGATGACGGTAGATGCCTTAGTGATGGCATCTAGCTGTGATCTTGTAAATCGTACGGTGAACTTTTTATGATCACCCAAGCGCATATAAAAAATTATTTAATATTTGATTACTATGGTGATTATTTGATACAATAAAATCAAATCAAACCATTGACAATAAAGTACATTTATATCTTAACTGACCTGCTTTAATGAGTTCCATTTAGTAAGGAGAAACGGTGACGACATGCGGTTATTCTATCATTTTGATAACCACAATGGAATGTGTTATTGATAATTATTGCGTTCATATATAATGTTAGCTACCTGTCATCGTTGATAAATGCAATCATTGTTTTCATTTCACTGGAAAAATAAGTATTTATAAATATGTTTTTTAATATCTTTCATGCAATGTCACTAACAGAACTGATATTAATTAATTATGACGAAAGCTTACATTTTTTTAAAAAAAATCCCATTTATAATCTTTTTAATACGAAACAAGCTAGAAAAAGGTGAGAAATACGAATTAAATAAGATTAACAAAGCAGGATAAGGTAATCATTAAAGATATGAGATAAGCAAGTGCTAATTTCAAGCCACTTATCACCATTTAACATTCCATCCAAAATTCCGGGATAGACCACCACGTAAGATGAACGAAAATAAGTTTTTATATTCTTCAATTTCCAACTAAACATATGCGGTATTTTAAACCACTTACGTTCTATGATATCTTCATGATTATATCAAATATTAATTCTTTGAATTGTCTCTGGATTTTTTTTTTATCTTGTAGAAAGATTGAAAAATTATATCACCTTCAGGAAGTCATCAAAAATTTTTTAATTGAATCAGTAAGTGATTATTTTTCTAAAACAGAAATGAACAAAACGAACTTAATGATTATCGTTGAGTTCATCCACTTGATGTTGTGTACATAAAAAAACTAGACTGATTTAAATAAAAAAGTTTATGAATGAAAATTCCTTTGAAAAATAATTTTCATTTTCGACCATTATTTTATTTTTCATAAAAATTTAATTTTAAGAATACATAATAGATTTTTGAAGCTGCGTTTTGTTTTTTATAAATCATGGAACTTAAAAAAATCTGGATGAGAAACGAAATGCATAGAAGGAATATATAAAGTGTACTAGTATTTTATTTTTAAATTATTTCTTTTTTTTCTTACATTTTACCAAAAAATAATTTTTATTTACACTTTCCCTTAAATAAATAATATAAATAATTGAATAATTGAAGAACTTATTTAATTATTGCTTCCAGTTTTTGTCTTTTCTTATTTTATTTTTTGTAATATTAATATTATTTATTTGTCATGGCAAATTTGTTGACAAAAGTTTGCGCAACTTTTTTTCCATGCGTTCATATTGTCTAACAAATGTTATTGAAACTGAAAAATTTAATAAGTGTTCAATTCTAATTTAAAATTTTAAATTTTGTTTCAAAAAACATCCAAATAATTTTAAAATTTTAAAACTTTTTGTTGAGACCTTCAATTCCAATGATGAACTTAAGGAAGAAAAAATAATTTTATTGGTTTAGGAATTAGATAGCAGGCTTACGCTTAGTTTATAGAATGTTTATTACCATTATTTCCAATGAAAAAATGTTTATAGTTACGCATAAAAAGTGAAACAATGCTTTTTAAATAAGCTCAAGTTAGTCCTATCATATCAAATTTCAAAGAAAAAGGCATTTGGCAATCTTAATGATATAATTTGATTTCACGAGAACAGTTGTAAGCTAATTAGTGTATCAATAAATTGATTCCAAGTTGTAGATTGTCTACAACTTTGACGACAATTAAATCAGTCATCAAACTCATTTATTATTTTCCCTATTCAAAAAATTGTTATTGTTGCAATTTTGACAATAACACGATAAGAAGGTATATGGTACTAAAATCAACTTGTATTTTAATTCAAGTGTAATGTTCATAAGAAATTTAAAGTTTCGGAGAAATGATAAGCAAATATTAATTTGGAAATGATTTACGAATTGAAACAATGAATTTTAAAATTAAAGATTCATGTGGATTATTAAGAATTAATTATCGCAGATTGTATACTTGCCATATTATCAACCTTCAAAGTTGTTTTTAATTTTTATCATGCATAAACGTAATTTATTGCAGGGTTGACCATTATCATTTAGTTGGAAATGATATTGAAATTTGATTAAAGAACTTCTCAGAATTTTCTTATCAAACTCTTAATACCCTAAAGGGGCAAAATAAAGATTGATCATTTTTACCATTTCTGATGAAATAAACTTCAAGAGTGGAAAATTTTTGAGCTCTTACAGAACTTTTCAATTAAATAAGATTCTCTCCTGTAACACACAGTTCGTGCATGAAAACACCATTTACTTACTTAAAATGCAATGGATTTTGTAAAATGGGAATTTTGCGCACGATTTGAATAACTTAAGCTTAATTTCCATTCAAAGAAATTTTATATTCAAGTTTTCCATGGTTCAAAGGTCGGAAGCATAATAATGCTTATCCTTAATTTTAACGCTTAACTTACAAAATTTAGTTTTTCAAAAATCTACAAAACTGTTTGAGCATTTAATTAAATGTTTGGTGATTGTTTGTAATTTTTTCAATAGATCACTTAAAAACAAGAAGCAGTTTTTAATTTTTTTATTGTTACGTAGTATGTAAATTAAGGATTCTATGACATCTGAAAATATGAGCTGTTAAAATTCCCTATCAATCTATTTTGGTTTCATTCACTTATGACGTTCGACAAAAAACATGATTTTTAAGACCCTCCTCCCCTCTGTCACAAATCTTGTATGGGAAAAAATTTTCTTTGTTTGAGCTGTCACAAAATCCAAGACCTCCTCTCCTCTAAATCTCGGACGTCGTAAATGAACATCGTTTTTTGCTTAACGTAATAAATGAGCGAGCCCTTTACAGTACGTAGTATTATTTAATTTCTTATTTCGTTGAGTATCAACTGGCTAATTGTAGAATTGATTATTCAAAAAATAAAACAAATTAAGATAATAACTCAATACTACGAGTAATATCCTACTGAATTAGTTTTGGCACTAATACAAATTTACGATTCTTATTCCTGCAATTTTTCACTCCCTTTTCTCTTTTTAAAACATATTTTTGTTTTGAAGAAAAATAATATTCAGCTATTTTAATTCCTTTCTTTTTTTTATTCATTCATCTATTTTTTGTACACACTCGAAACATAAAATATTCTAATAATTTTCTAATTAATATTCATTTGTTTTTTTTTTTTTTAAATTCCATATGTTTTTTAACAATGCTATTGCGTCTATTAAAAGAGCACATAAGTTTTAAATGTATTCTATGGCATTTAGGCGAAAAGCTTTTCTTTTAAGTTTTGCAACTTTGCATTACAATAATCTTATAATGAGCATACAAAATAGACTTGTTACCAGTAAGAATTGTTTCTGGCATGGAATCTTATTATTACCAAAGCACCTGAATAATTTCAAACAATATTGAAATTCTTAAAACATGGTATTTAAGGTTTTTTGGAACTCTCAAATTTATTGAAAATTATTCATGATGATCCATCCATTTTTTGAGTTGTTATTTAAACATTTTTCAAAATATAACAATCATATAACTCATATTATGATTTGAATAAATTCAACTGTAGGTCCTAAATATAACCCAATAAGGATTGACATAAAATTTTAATTTTGAATTTTTTTATCCTGTTTTTGATAAAAAAAAACATAGACCAAACATTTTTGATGCTGATGTCTGAAAATTTTGAATATTAAACTTATTAATTAAAAAATGAGTGTAATAATTAGTCCAGATAACAACTCTTATTGAGATTCAAAGAAAAGAGATAATTTATGTTTGTATTCATACAATGCATTTCTTGTTATTTTTATTGAGTGATTTCTAGAAAGAGATATTAAATACAAAAAAAGAATTTGAATGCAAAAATACTGTCATAATTAAAACAAATCTTTTTATATATTGGTTGTGTGACAATTATAATCATTTTTTTTATCTAAAATTTACTCAAAAATTATATAAAACAAAAATTTTCCATTTATTCTTAAGCCTACAACTTTTATTTACTTTTAAAGTTAGCTTTTATAGGTTTTATTTTTTCATCATCATTAGTATTGAGAGCGAAAACACTGAGAATTTTTTTTTCATTTTTTAAGCATTGCTTTCTCAGAAATTTTTAAAATTACATTTAGAAGAAGATGCAATAAAATATAAATTCTTCTCCATCATTTGTCTCCTGAATTATCTGAGAAAAAAATTGCATAATATGGCATTCTAGTATTATTATCATTATTTTTATTTTTCTTGTTAAAAAAGGTATTTAGAAGCTTCTATTGTTTGTTCATCGTTCTTTAGTCCTGTCGCAAGACAGGGGCGTCAAAATTAAATTTATGCCTGACTGACAAGCTACGGTATATATAAATGATTCTTAAAAGAAAAGAAAGAAGGAAACAAAAAACACAATAATTTACGATATAGTTATGTCCTTAAAGGCTGTAAAAAGATAAATGTTTATATGTATGCATATACGTAACTACACCAAGAATTAGATCTTTATCAGTTTTCAGGGTTTCGGTTTATTTTATGAGAATTTTTCTGATTTAACTTTCGAGAGTGCCTCACATTCTCATTGTTCTTTTTACTTTTTCGATTATTGCATTTATTGTTTTGTTGTTTCTCATTGGCATGTGCATTTCTACCTCTAACGTTCTTTTTACCTTTTAGATGCTTATCATTTTCAGAGTCATCCGTTGAACAATTACTCGTGCTATTATTATTATTGTTATTGCTGTGATTATCAATAGAGTCTATTTGTTCCTTATTCCAGTTTTCTCTGTTATAATTTCTATTTATATTTTCAATATTATGGTTATTTTCGTCAAGATTAGTAGCAAATCCCTGTTGATCTTCAGGATCATTTGTCGGTGATATTTCTGAGAAGGATTGTTGATGTTGATGCATCTTCTTATGATGTTGATGTCTAATATGGTGTGTTGTCATTTTCTCATTTTTATCACTTATATTATTATTACTATTTACATTATCAGAAGGATTATTATAAATAGGATTAAAGTTCTCATTATCTAATTGTTTAGTATTTCTGCTGTTGCTGCTAACACTATCATTAAATCTACTGCTATTATTATTTTTATTCATATTATTATTATTACCATTATTTTTATTATTATTAATATAATTATTATTATTATTATTATCATTATTATTATTATTAATTTTATTACTATTATTATTATTATTATCATTATTAATACTAATATTATGTTGTGATTTATTATGTTGTGATTCATTGTGATGGTGTCGCACAGAATGTGCGCCTTTTGCTCGAGATGTATTTCGAGGCTTAGACATATCAATTTTATTACTATGAGTTTTCTGTTGTATTCGGCTTGAAGACGACTTACGATTCCCTAAAGATGATGATAAAGTTGATGTCTCTTGATAAGCGACAATTGCTGAGTTACTAATTACATCGTTTGAACTGTTTTCTATTATTCGCTTAAATATTCGACGACATTTCTCATCGTTCTTTATACGGTCGTAATTGATTGGTCTTCCATTTCTCATGAAGCCGAGATACTTTTGTGGATCTTTGACGGAACTGAATGTTGAATAACCGTGATCCATGGCTTCGCGGAAGTGACACGAGTGCTCGTCTTTCAAGTTCTTTCTCTTCTGTTAATAAAAAATAAAACAAACATTTAATAAAATTCTTTCTGTCTTTATATATATATATATATATATATGAAAATTTGATATAGTCTAAAAAATTTTATTTGATTTTGAATGAGGGTCAATAAACACGTCGCATTAAAGATGAGACGGAAAGTCGAGAAGAATGGATAAAAATGGACATTAAACATAATTAGAGATGAAGATTAGCGAGACAAAACAGCCTTACCATTAGTCTTGGTTGCCACTTGTGATTGAAACATATATAAGCTCCTCGTTCTCTTACGTAAAATGTTATTCGAATATCCGGAGCCATATTCTGCTTTGTATATTGATGCGACTGTATTGTGAAGTTTTCTGTAAAGATAAAAAATAAAAGGAGAAATAAATAAAACAAACTAGACAATAAAAATAGAGCAAGACGCATTAGCATATTTTTCAAATAATTCTCCAAATATTATTTGACATCGAATTAGCTGGCAATTAGTATTCATTCATAGAAAAAAAACATAACAATTTGTAAAATGATATTTAATTTATGCCCTTTTTTGCCATTGATGTAGAGTTAAAAAGAAAGATATTTTTATATCTCTTTTTTGTGATAAAAAAAATCAACATAATGAAAACATTTCTGAAATATTTTATTTCCAAACGATCTTGATTGTTAATGATAGGCGACAGTTAAACAATCATCAACATTTGCGTTAACAAGATGGTAACAAGACTCTTTTTGGTGCCAAAAAATGTCATCATTTGCTTAGTTCTGGGTAGTGATATATGTGTTTTGGTGGCGTGTGACATGAGAAAAATTCTATAGTTTGAAACTTAATTGGCTACCGCATCTTTAATCAGTTTTAAGCAGTTCTGTATGAATATTGTTGTTACTCGATATCTTTTCCTTTTTAACGATTTCTAATAAATTCTTAAAAATTCAAATTATCATATTTTTTATGCAACTTTGTCAGAAACATTGTTATTAGGAATTTAGGTATGAAAGAAAATTCATAAGAATACAAATCTTTAAAATTATTTTTTTGTACTTTTAATTTTTTTACTCTCACAACTCACTAATTTCCAAATTCCAATGATAATTTTAATTTTTTCTTCTTCTTTCTGTGAGTCTTATGTAAGCAAAAGTGCCGGTAAAAATATCTTGAGAATATAGAAAAATAAATATTAGAAAAAAATCTAAAACAAACTTTAATATTTTCGATTGCCTTCTTTTATTTTTGTACAGTTGGAACCGAAAAAGTATAAGAAAAAAAGTTAAGATGCAGTTTTTTCCTCACAAAAAATGCGTTATTTTAATATTAGGTAAGACACAAGAAGAAAGTGTGATTTCTTAAGTAAAGAATAGATTTACACATACACCGAACATAAACTGAAGAAAAAGAAGAAAAAATACCTCCCTTGAATTCGTAGAAATTTCAACATAACTCTCTTATTGTTTTGTTTTCATAACCTTTTTTCTTCCTTCAACATTAATAAAATAAAATAAAATAAAAAAAAAAAACAAAACATACAAAAAACAACCGATGCACAGAGAAAATAACTTTATATTGAAATAAAATTTATCAATTTTAGGTAACTATCTTAGGACGCATTTTCATCACATATTGATGATTGAATACACTTATTGATGTATTAAAATCATAAGAAATTTAAAATCAAGATATTTGACAGACAGACAAACTCGCAATAGTCATATTTTCATTGTGATAAATATGAAAAAAGTATTGCAATGCTGATTTGCTTCTACAGGAAATTTATAAGTTAAATTTATTTTCTGTTATTTAAATTTGTTCTGTTATATTTTTTTTTTTTTTATTCTAGAGAATTTGAAAAGCTATAAGCCCATATTTATTGATTCTCTTAACCTTTCTGCATCGCACATATTGAATTCATACTAATTTATTATTCTTATTCTTCTAAAGGTCTCAAAAGGCTGTATTTATTGTTGTTTCAAAGTATATAATATTGATGTCATTGTTGTTGTGTTTGATAGGGCAATTAAGATAATTGATTTAATCTATCTTCAGTCAATGGAGATGTTTTGTGAAATTTTCCCATAAATTGTGTGTGGGATCAAATAAAGATATAATAACAAAACCAACCCCTTCTTAAGATGTAAAATAATGACTTGTGATTTTTCCATTCTAAAGGTCACGAAAAATCAATAAAAAATTTATTTCTATTTGCTAAAAGAAATTCTTTGTGAAAGTTATTCCCACATAAAATCATGTCGTTAAGCATTGTATACCTGCTGCCTAAAAATTTAACTATTGTTGTGCTGAGTTCCTTGTGAAATAAGAAAAACTTTACAACATGTAACTTTTTATCTGTTTATCTAATAAACACGACAGTTTCAATATTTCTTTTTGATCTTTTGGGTCAAACATCAAAATTCATGTTGTCCATCTTTGAATCTCTTCTTTCATCATATTCTGTTTAAAACAAAATATATATGTATCGAAAAAGCACATGTTTTCATGTCTGATAACAATCTTATTTTTTTCTTTTGTAAATAACCGTTCGACAATTGACAGGTTTCTTGGAAGTGATGAGGAGAGGTGGAGTACAAATTTTATCACATAAACAGCTCGTTCCTAATATACAGTTTTGTCTATAACTGTGTTGTCCAAACTGTGTGCCTGAAAAAATTTTTGAAAACACCACGAAGCGCACACTCTGTGCGGTTTTGGTCATGGCTTAGTATCAAATGTGCCGTAGCTCAAAAATTTTGGACAACACTGAACTATATTAGAATGCTAATTTGAACGAAACAATGACAAGGAGTCAATGACTTAACCAATCAATATTTATTATTTATTCCTTCATAATTATATTTATTTACATTTTCTGTAACATATGTAAGCTGAAAACATGATTCTTGTGTACTGCTTAATCGCTTAATGCACTGAAATTAGTGAAATGAATTATTATAATTGTTTTTTGTTTTTCAATTTTAATATAAAAAACTCCTTTTTAATAAGTGCATATTTATTTATTTTATTCAAAGTTTTGACAAAATTTAGAAATTGATTTTGTTTCAGAATGGATTGTTCTTTCACTTTTTTTCAGCCAATCATTTTGATCCATTAAGCTTTACATTAAGCTTGCATCACAAAAGATTGCATACGCAAACAATAAAGAAAAAGAAACGAAATGCCTTTATCGTTTAAACTTACGACTGCCTCGCATGTCTTAAACGAAAATCGTAATATTCTTTTCTGTTGGTTTCAGTCATTTTTCGGTTTCTTTGTGATTGATAATTTTCTGCATATTAACTTTCTTCGAAAACTAATAATGCAAAAACAGTTGAATGGCAAAAAAGGGAATAAAAACGTTGATGGAATGGGCATAAGAAGAAGAGGAACAAAAAGAAGAAGAAATTAAAACAGAGAAAAGTAAAGCAAGGCAGAATTAATTGGTTTTTCAAAAAAAAAACGAAGAAATGAAATGAAGGCGTTCGGCAAAAATGTATTGAGACGCTTTGTAAGTTTGTTTAAAGTTGCAAATTGGAATTAAAACATTTCCGAAACATAAAACTTGGTATTGAGGAACACCAACAGCTACACATGGAAAGTATTGAATTATTTTGCTCTTCTGTTTTGTTATTGCTTTAAAGTTTTAACAAATTGACGCAAAAGGCGAGAATATTTCAAGAATCGTTTGCACGCTATATAAATATTTTTTTTATTATTTTGTTTTAATGGTAGTACAAATAAATATAAGGCAAAGAAAATTTAATTTCTGTAACATCTATATCTTTATTTCAATTTTCTGTCTTTCAAGCACAAGACCAAACCAAATTAAAACATACGAAATAATATTCATTACTCTCAATTTACCAATAAAATTGGTTACTCTCTAAAACGTTGCCTTTACGTCTACTGAAAAATCTAATTTTTGCTTTTAACGCTCAATTTCATGTGAACAAGGCATGCACACCGGATGAATAATTCTTCTTGTTCCGGATGAAACCGTATCAAAGAATCTTTTGTTTCGGATGAAATTTTTTCATTGTTCATGCCTTGCATATGAATGTATTCATAATAGAACAAAATTAATGTAATTTTTAAAAATAAATATTTCATACATTTTTGCCAATCAGAAGTGAAATTATACATCAATCCTCTTACATCATGGAACTCCATTAACATGCTACAACATTAGCAAACAATTAGTAAATCATGAAGAAAGCTTATGGCATATTTTAAGAAAGAGGACGCCTAATTAATGAAACGCCTTTGTGTTCCATCTATATTTTAAATGAAAATTATATTGAATTTATTGGAATTTATCTGTAAAATATGAATGACGAGAAGTACAGAATTTCCATGAGTACAAATTATTAAAGTGAAATTTTTTAACTAATTTAATAAGAATAAGAAAGAAGAAGCTTACAATATTAAATTCTTTGGGCGCTTAATGAAGAGTCAGATGAATTTTGTATGTTAGCAAAAAATATAAATTTCAAGACTTACGTGGGCTTTCGGAATTTTGGTTTGCAAATATGCGATCGTTTTGGACAGTCAAAAATTTGTCGGAGCATGCTGATAGAAGCTGCACATCTTGTGAAAAGCATGTTATTTCTACAATCAAAACCTGGAATAAAAAAAGCGGTTAAAAAATTAATGAAAATTATTATTTTAAAACCTCGACATATTGAAGTGTTTTTTTTTGCTTTTTTTTCAATTTGGATTGCAATTTTTTTTTATCAAACTGACTGTTTATTTGATATCTAATTATCAGATATAATTTTAAAGTTTCCAAATACCTCAAAATGTAATTATAAAAAATTAGAATTGAAATGCAAATTTTTAAACATATATATTTTTTTAAAAAAATTCATTCAAAACGCATTCTTAATCTTATTTGGAACCTGCTTCATTTTATAGCTTTAACAAAATTTAAATTAAAATTAAAATAAATTAATAATTAAATAAAATCAAACGAGACAACATAAAATTTCTCCCGATATCTAAACTGAAATAAAGATTCAAATCAGTTACATTAAAAATCAATTAAATGCTTAGTTTCCGGACAAAACTCTCTGTTTGTTTGCTGGAGTCATCAAAAACATATATATGTATAGATATATAAATGTATATATTTACTTTTTTAAGCTCATCATCATCGTTCGCATTGATATTATTGCTATTATGACAATTTCATAACTGTTCAATATAAAATTCATTAAGAATGCATACATAAACTACAATGTATCAACAGAAGCGCGTCATTAAATCTAAATATTTAAAAAATATACTTAAAATGTATTTTCAATATATAGGAGTGCTGTTGCCTCCTCTGCGGACATATCACAATCATTATTATAAGTTATCGTCAGTTGTGACTTGATGTTCCCATTAGCTTTTTTTGTGACTCCTCGCTCTTTTTTAAATAACAGCGCATTATTAATGAGTGAATAAACAGAAAAAGTGCCGACAAAAAAGCAACACCAAAGCCGATCTTTGCTGTTTTTCTCCCATTCTTAACCATCATTATTCCAAAAGAAAATATTCCAACAATATGTAAATATATATGCACACTCGTATATTTATCCATATATATGACTATAAGAGATGAAAATGAAAACATCCAAAAGTATTTCTGTTTGTATTTCGTGACAAGTTTGCCAGCGAACAATGAGAAAAAAGATATGAATTTATGAATGAAAACCAAAATTGGGGCGAAGCAAGTGAGAGATCGAAATATGAGACCATTGATTATGATAATGAATTCTTCTTCAAATTATGTCTATATATAAAAAAAAAATCGCTCCTTTCTGCAGAAGAGTCAACTAATTATATATGCGGATTAGTTTTAATTTTGATTGCGAGATAGAGTCAAAAGTAGTAAAGATTCATTTTTCTTCTTTTATTTTTTGTGAGATTAAGTTCAGCACCCAACAAATTAAGTTTGAGGAACAACAGTGGTGTGGCAAAATAGTAGTAAGGTTAAACATAAAATACTTTTTTAACATAAACTAATTAAGTGGATATTTTTCTAGCTTATGAATTTACTCAATGATGTTGATAATGAGTCAAAGAAAGAGTCTTCAGTTTAGACAAAAACGAAATAACGTAGGATCTTCATCTCTGGATCAGACTTTTTTTGAATTTTTGCCGGCGCCCCCTTATCAACACAATAAATTGCTAAATCGACTTACTGATATACTTTATATTCTACACGTTTTTAGTCTTTCATGATAAAGCCGCACATGGTATGAATTTTATTTATTCAAATATCATCATTTGCCGTTGTTGCCGTAATCTTAAAGTATTAAGCTTTATTAAGCACTTTTGAAAAGAACTTGTTTGACATCTTCCTTTCGTTTTTGATGCTCCTCGCATTGAGAAGTCATCAGACCACTTCTTTCATATGTATGCATACATTAATATTAATTCCAAATGATTCAATGTCTAATGAAAGTTCTCAAAAAGTATATTTTGTCTTTTTCATTCATTGTTTTTTCATGAAAACGGTATGCTAGTGTTAGTACAACTCAATGAAATTGTGGATTTTTTAAATCAGTTTTAAAAATAAAAAAATTATTTTATTAGAAAATCCTGTAAATTATAAAGTAATTTCTTTATAAACTCTTTAAAGTTTTTTTATATGCAGTATGTCACAATTTATAATCTCAATATAAGGAATACAGTGCAGTAATAATTACCATGACGCAGCTCTAACGTCTTAAATTAAATTAATAAAATAATAATAATAATAATTTGGTTTCTACGAAAATTCTGCGCGATGCAAAATGCGCTCACGTCGGTCTCAAGTTTTTTCTTTTATTTTTGCACTTTAACAGTCGTCTGATAAACGAATCGAAAAAATTCGGGAAACATGCATTTCCTTGTATCTTCTCATGTTGTATGTTTTTGATAACCAGTTAACTTTTTTACAAGATAGGGTGCAATGAAATTTGTCATTTAACATGATGTTATGACAATATAGAAGCAGGTGATCATTAGTTATTTGCACTTAAATTTAAAAAAAAAAATGGGCAAAATTATTACATGGATGTTAGCTTTCGTGTGCTTCTTATTCATTATCTGCAAGAACTTGTTAGAACATTATGGGCCATTCACATTAAGAGTTTTAGATTAAAGCAACTAAACTGATTGTTATATTATTGATAGTAAATAAAAGCTATAGCCAACAATGAATAAAATATTAACTATAGTTTTTATAATTTAACTATTTTTCCCGTTGTGATACTCGAGAGTTTGAACAATTCTGCTCTAGAGCTACTCATAGAAAAGCTTTAAAATATTTTCTGCAAAGTTCATTACCAATAACTATCCATAAACTTTAATTTACTTCTTAAATATCAAAAAAAGAAAAAAAAATACTGAAAACAAATCGAATATGATATGCAAATGAGAATTTTTATCAGTATGTACATATATATTATTGGCTAAACATATAAAAATCATAAAAATATCATCTAAAATTCGTTATCACTTGAATAATTTTCGCATTATGACAAAATTCACATTGGAATAATAATTTATTCGAGAAACTTGATTATTGATTGGTCGAAAAGATGTTAAAAGCAAAATGAAGAAGTTATGAAGGTAGATGTTTCGTAAATCTAAAACAATCCTTTTTAATGGTGATTAAATGCATGTTACGTGATTTTTTAATAAAATTATGAATCAAAATAGTTTTTATATCCTAATAGTCACTAAAAGGAAACAACAAAAATTCCTCTTTTATTTATTTGGCAAACTGTTATTTATATTCGCACTACAGCAAATATGATATGAAACTCAAGTTAGTTGATTTATTTGTAATTTATTAAATTAATTACCAATGGCGAGATGGTAAAATGTTCATTGAAATAAGCCTTTGGTGTTAATTTCTGAAATTTCTTTAATAACAAAATTAAAAGTGGGAAGTAAAGACCAAAGAAGTAAAAAGAAATAAAAATAATTCAATTGATTCCAGTTCGTTCGTCTCTGTTTTTCTGTCTCTCCTTTTCTTTATTTCAATACCTGCAATTTCACATATCAACACATTTGCTTTTATTGGATTATCCGCGCGCTGTCTCTACTTGTCCGCATTAAGAGCCAATTTGTAAGCAATTTTTACACTTCAATAAGTCTCGTTTTAAATAAATTTACTTACCATCAGGTAGTACAAGTATTTTGCATAGACAGTAAGCTTTGGTATCCTGCAAAAAAAAGAATGAGAACAAAATTTGAATTTTTTGCTTAAGCTAGCTTAATTAATACATTAATTATGTCAAAATAATGGAAAAAGATTAACTTTTAACAGGCTTCTAATTATTTACAAAAAGTGATAAGGAGATATGCCACCATAAACTAAAAATATATATTTTTACTACAGAAATATATATCTGTGGGGCCTTAATAATTTTGTTATCGCTAAAATATTTCGATTAAACACCAATTTTGCGAAGAAATCCATTAAAATTCATGTTAATCCATCTTCTGATTTCTTATGTGAATATTTGATAACATACATTATGAGAAGAAAAATCCTTTTGGATTTTGGCGGCATGTGGAAGCGTAAAAGCGATAAGATTTATGGATATTTCATGAGACAACAGACAAAATAGCATCGATAAATCATTTAAAGCCATAGTTTTACTGTATTTTAAGATATATAGCCTACATTTTAATATCTCAACCATCTCAAAACTCAATGAATAAATATTTATGGAAACGAAATGCAAAACGATAAGTTAAGTCTGTTTCTTCTTTTCATTTTTTAGTGAAAAACTTGAAATGAGAATAAAGATTTTAATGCGATTCCAATGTGCGTTTACAAATTAAGGGATTTATTGATAAGGCTGTAATTTTTATATAAATGCGAATCGCTTACATCTATATTAACTGCTTAATTACAACGAGGCAGCCTTTAGTGAGCAGTATCCGATGACAGCCTGCAATGTGGCTTGAAAAATACTCTGTATAACATTTTAAATTATAAACTCTACAACTCTATATAAAAACGTATGTTAAAGAAAACTGGATTTGACAAAAGCAGCAATAATATCCTACAACAACCTTACTAGAAAAGGTTGTGGTGGTAATTACGTTCCCTGCTAAATAATGCATCTAATTAATATTATTGCAAATTTTCGCATGCATGTATATTCTTATACATACTCATTTTGTGTAGGAGAATAAGAAGATATAGATACATAGAGAGAAGCCCTCAAAAGACCACAGAACAACCTCATTAAATAGCATTCAATAGATCACATTTGAATGCTTGCTCATTTGCAGTTTATTTTTTATTTAACTTTTTATGATTATTCGCAATTATTCGTTTTAATAGTAAGTAAAACGATTTGTCAGTTGTTATTGTCACAATATGGTAAAGTTGAAGTATTTCATTTACATAAAATTTGAATGATTATTGTGAGGTTATAAAATGCATTTTATTACTATTCATGCGAATTTCCAATCATTCTCTGTACAAATGTGTAAACTTCATGTATTAAACATACTGTAGTGATGAGTGTTCAGTGAATATGTATTTTTCAATTTCCACTTGAAATGAATTACTTGTACATGTAGGTTAAGAGAATCAAAGCCCAAACTTTCTTATTGGTTTGATAATTATTGATTTGTCATTAACGCATCTAAAAACCTGAAATGATTACAAAAGTCCTCGTGTTATTGATCAAGGGACTTCAGCGCATTTTTGACGCAGCGATCAGTATTTTTTTAGCAACAAAATGCATTAGCAAAGTTTTCTTGTGGTATTTTACAAATATTAAACATTAGGTACAGTCAAAAGTTTTTGTCTTTCGAAGGTTTTATAAATTTGAAATTTCCTGCCATGTTTTTATTACTTACGTTGGTTAATATAGCTAACAATTCTTATTGTTAAGCAAATAAATCGATTTTCATGAAAACAGCTCTTGAATTCAAGACTATTTGTCATTCAACGTTTTTCTTGAATTTATTGGAATTAAATTTTGTAGCGGCAGAAATAAATTTGAATTTCTAAACGCATCTTTTAAAATTTTTATAATAATAGCAGAAAAATTCAAATTACTGAACGTTGATATGAAATAAAAAAAATCATTAATTATAGTATAATTACACTGATTCAAGACTTTTAACTATTCGATGAACCAAAAAATCAATAGTAACGGAGCTAATAAAACAAACCCGAGCTTTCTACGATGTCTGGTTAAAAAGCTTTTCTCCACCCGTACGAACGAACAAAGTGAATTATTAAGCTACCATTTAGAAACAAGTTTTAAAAATGCACAAAAAATCCAACCAGAAAATTTAATTTTCAAAATATACATTTTGAAAATGTATTATAAAATAAATTTTTTAAGTTTTATCATAACGAATTAAAAGTTTTTGTATATAATGTTAAGGATTAAAGTATTGGAAAAAAATTTCATCTGCTTTAAAATCATTCCAGTCAAAATTCACGAGATAGCATTTTGAATCGTCAATGATAATAAAATGATCATCCATGTTATGTGTGTCTCTAGATAATTTTTTGTTACTAACACATCTAGTTTAATTTATGTTAGATTCGCACGGTTATATATTTTAAATGAAAGTTATTTTTACATTACTCGAGAATAATACTCGCTTCAACCGCAGCCAACAAAGTTTTTCTTTTATTATTATTTGTCAAATGACATGAGATGAAAATACAGTGAAAGTGGCATTTTAAATATTTTTAATCAAAAAAGAAGTGTTGACGTAATGAAAATTTATTCTTCTGTTATTTCATAAGAATATAAAAATTACAAAAGTCCTCGTGTGATTGATCGAGGGACTTCAGCGCATTTTTGATGCGGGGATTAGTGTTTGATTAGCAACTTAATCAGGTTACTAAATATATCATTAATAACATACCCTAAAGAAGATTTGGACTTAAAATATTGTGAATTTTATTGAAATTATACACCTCTTATAAAATACGTGACCAAATAAAAAAAACTGAGCTCTCCACGATGTATAGTTAAAGAGATCTCATTTCGCGTTCGAACAAAGTGAGTTTTTAAGCTCCTTTTAAAAAAACAAGTTTTCAAAAATGTGCTAAAAAGAAATATCGAGACGTAAAAAAGATGCTCATAATTTGAAACGTCTGAAATTTTAGACTCATCTACAGGAATTTTTACTGATGATAAAGATCTGCTCAAATCTTTCGGAAATTTGTCATTGAAAATATATTTATTGTTATTATCAATTAAATGATAAGAAGTGATTATCATATAAAAGCTTTTTCGGTATGATATGATAGGAATGCAATAACCTGTTGTCAAAATAACTTAAGTTGAAACAATTATTCATATGAATTTTTATAATTTCTGACATAAAATTACAATCAATTACTTTTTTAAATTTAACGAAAATTAATGTGTGCACGGGTGTGCACTATTTTCTATTATCTCACTACATTGTGACAAAAAAAATATAAATTAATGTCGCTGTTAAGATTTCCTGATAATCTTGTTTGAAATGAAAAAGCAAAAAGAAAAATGATCATCATAAATTTTTTTGGCGGAAAATTGCCAACAAGATTTATAAAATTAAAAAATCAAATGTATGAAAAATTTTCTTATGAAGTTTTTATGGCCCTAAAGTCGCCAAGAGACCCACCGGCTGCGAAGATATAATTATTCTAGCAAGTAATACACGTGGTCTGTTGTGATTAAAGTACTTTATTTACAATTCGTTTACCTTTCAATGAGTGGAATATTTTCTATTCAACACACAATCAGTCTTTTATTGATAATTGATAAAGAGGTTAATAAATTCTTTATAACGATTTATATTTTATATATTTTAGGCGTCTGTAAAAAATAATTTTTTAATTTTTTGATATGAAAACTGCGATATTTATTTGAGGTAAATTCTTTTAGCATATTGGCGCTATAAAAGGCTTAAATGCAGATTACCTTTTTTGTGATAGTAGAACAAAACATTTATAAAAGGGATTGCGTGCTATGTCTGGTATGAAAATATTGTGATTTTATAAAGTCAAAAAATTAGATAGACCTTTGGACCAATACATTATTCTGTAGAGTTTTTCCTCTAAACCAAAATGTATCTTAAAATTTATTTGAGCTTTGAATTTTATTAACACAGTTTATAATATGTTGTATGATTGATGAAAAATTATATAGAATATAAAAAAATCAATTTACCAAATATTTTTTACTTATTACGTAACGCTTTTAAGAATAAAGGGATCTGAGAGATGTTATGATTATTTCAATTATTCGAAGAAAACAAATTTTTCTTAATATAAAATTTGTGACAAGGATTTAGGGCAATGTTTTCCAAACATTGTTGGTCTAATATCATTTTTTGGTTCCATAATAAGTAAATGATCTCAAAGTATAAAAATATACGAAGAGTATTTGTAGGCACGTGCATTCATCAGTTATATAAGGATATACAGAAAAAGATATGAAGTATAAAAACTTAATGTTCAATACCACACACTAAGTTATTTTTTTGTAAATATTCTTTCAGGTCAATTCAGTGAAGAAGTCGATTTTAATTTAGATAATTAATTTTTTAATCTTCGTTTATTGTTGTTATTCTCCTGAAAATGAAATTTATCTTGAATCTTTGTATCCATTTAAGATACCCTTATATGAATAAATTATTCATCCTTTCTATAATATCGGGACGTAATCAAATCAAACATCTCAGGTTACGTGATTTATTGGTTAAATGTAATTTTCTTTATTTTATTTTTTTTTTCAAATTTCCAACTTAAGTTTATCTCTATTTTCTCACTCTTTAGCACATTTTTCTCTTGTTGTTGTTATAGCTTCTAACATGATGCATCTGAATAATGTCGGTAACCAAATACTATTGCTTGAGGGTGTTCAATTTATTAAGAACTTTAAGTCATATATGAGTGCATTTTATTCATGCACGAAAAAGAATGAAACACGGACATAAAAGAAAAGCAGTTTAAATTAAGATTTTAAATTAATTTTGAAAAATGAAGTCGTAAGATGAGAGGCGATGGAGTCTCGGCAGTGTTATTTATTCAATTTTATTTCTTCTTATTATTATAATTTATATGACTTGTGTATAAACAAATTAAATTGAGTTAAAATGTTGCTACTCAATAATAATAATAATGCAAAATTCATGATTGCTATTGATAATGCCACTGCCGTCTTATGTTGAATATTGCTAAAGTACTTTGCATTAATGGAAAAAAATCCCTTTAAACCAAATTCCATCCATTTCGTAGTGGTAAATTACAATAAATATTTACATTAAATTGACTTTTTATCCCGAAGCTTTGAATGTAATAAACTGAAATTTTTTATATTTTTTCATTAGCATACACTCTTATAAATAAATATATGTATATCGAAATGCGAAATTGCAAATAAACATCGATGACTGAGTTTAGTCGTCTTTCGTTTTGTTTATTTATTTGTGGAAAGATTTTCTTCTTCACTCAATTCGCCTTTTTTTCCTCAACCAGCAAAAATTAAAAAAAAAAACTTCTGGTTTACGGAACAAACTTTTGATCTTTTTATTTTGTTATTTCTTAATTCGCTTCCTATCATTTTAAGTCGTGTAGTTTGCTATCAAAACATGTGATATTGATTACAAAATTCAATTTTAATAATTAAAGTCGAAGCTGCTTAAACTTGCTACCTTGTTTCTTTAATTTTAAAGCCTATCAAATAACATACATAATCTAAGAAAACGAAGCATGGCCCCTCTTTTAAGACTTTTTTATTTGAATTTTGATTTTCCTGTAATTATCTTAAAATTATAAACTTATATTTTTTTAAATATTTTAAGGTATTTTAAAATATTCTGAAATCAATAACTTGAATGGATGAAAGTAAATTAGTATGGGTAGGAAATTCCTCGTATTTTATTGTTGGACGAACATTTGTCTTTCATACGGAAAAATCGTGATTGGATTAACCTGGATCAATAAAAAAAAATGTATCCAATCCATTGTTATTGAAGTCAGAGGGAAGTCTTATCAAAAAGAATTTTTTTTTTCATTCAGTTTAGAGTACGAATACACAGCTTTGGCAGCTTCATGTGATTTTTATTTTCAAGATAATTTTTTTCGTATTATTTTTAAGTTTTTTATTATAAATGTTTAAAAACGTAAATCATATGAGCACCATAAAAAAAATAATAAATTTCACTTATGGGAAAATCTGCGTAGAGTTGTTAAATTCTTGGCGGATTTAATGATACTGTAAATTAGATATGAATGAGATAAAAATTCGAATTAAAAATCGTTGGGGTTTTACACTGTACGTTATGGCTTTAGATTGGACATTTTTTTCTTAAAATTCAATTATTATTTATTTTGAATCTAAGAATGACGAAAAAAATTAAATTATTAATATTTTTGCTTACAATAAATAAAAATAATAATTTCGATTTTTTTTTGTTTTTTAATAATGATCAAGTTGAAAACGATAATAGTCATTGAACAACCTAAAACTTTTGAAAAAAGTTGATTGATTATGAACGTGATTCTCAAACTGTGTGCCGCGAAAAAAATAGATTGCAAAAATTGTCATTATATTTTTATGTTTTATGACTTCAAAAAGGCCATGAAAAACATTTAGTGTGCCGTAAAAATTATTATGCAAAAAAATATGCCGTTGACCCAAAAAGTTTGAGAAACACTGGATTATGATCTAGAGCAATTATGGCCAGCTAATGTGCTGCGGCACACTAGTAAGCCGTGAATTTTTTTTAAGATATCTCACGAACCGTATGATGTGTGCGGTTTTGGCATGGTTTACCACAATGTGTGCCTTGACACAAAACAAGTTGACCACCACTGATCTAGAGAAACGTTTAAATCTTTCGGATCTAAAACTATACACCGCCAAAAAAATGCAATCTAATCGATTTATTATTAAAGAAAATTGTTCAAAATAAATATATTTCCACGAATGAGTGAAATTTTCAGAAATACATACGGAAATATGTAAAAGCATGCATTCCGTATAACATACACATTTCCACACTTATTTTGACAGAGCAATTAAAAATGCTAAGAAAATAAGAAATGAAAGCAAAATAAAGAAAACCGGAGAAAGAGAAGGAAAGAAAAAAGTTAAAATGCATTAAACTTACTTTAAAGCATTTTTGCTGATAAAGCAAATGTGTATTATTCGGCGTCGTTTAAAAATTTAGGAATATATGTAAGTTGCAGTGAGTGAATGATTGTAATCATGCAAATACGTTTTGATTATTACATTATTTAAATAAAAAAAGTTTCTCTACAACTAAATTAACATTTTAACGTATTTCAAGCAATATGAAGTCTTTCTTTGGATACACATGCATACATTTTTCATGCACTTGGAAGGAAAAACCGCAATGTATCACCTCAACAGATCTGCATACTTTACTACATAAATTTCTTTTCGTGCCGCTGCGATATCATTTGGATGTCAAAACATTGAGTAACAATAAAGTTTGAGGTTAATAATAAATATGACAAAAAGAATGTGCAAACGTTAAATGCAGTCAAAACACACACACATCACCTGTGCGTGTGTTTATTTGATGAATATTAAAATTTCGTCGGTATCTTTTGTGATCATCACATCTGAAGCATATGTTAGTATATGTCGTATTGGAAATTCAGAGAAAGAGTTATCAAAATAAAACAAAATCTACTAAATTATTTTTTATTACGAAAATTTCAATATCATATTCATCTTTTACAACACATGAAATTTAAAATAAATAAAATTTGCTCTTAATAAACGATGATAGCATCATTAATTTAAAAAAAAGCGCCACATACATTTTCACATATAACAACTTGTCGCTGCATAATCTTATCAAATGCATATCAATATGCACCTATAATCACTTTGCTGTATTTAAAATTAAATTGATTTTATGCTTTACGCCAGAGCACACATATTATTTCATAATTAAATGACCTAATTGAAATACACCATGCATATTTTCCAACAATTTTTCATGTTTATAAGCTTGCTATTATTTTTCATTAAATAAAGCCACAAATCCTTGCATATTATATTGCTTATGGCATAAACAAAGAGAGAGAAAATACAATTTTGTACGAGGGTGAAGCAAATTTAATTATTTTTTAAATTATTAATTAAAATATCAAACGACTAGGCATGTAATAGAAGAGATGAGAAAAAAAAACAATAAAATAAGGGAAAAAATGCCCAGCCGTCGGTGAATATTTGTTTTTATTCTCCCTTTAAATAATCTGTGGAGGATAAAAAATCAATCACTTTGCACAACAAAAAAAGTAAATATTAAATAAATTCAGTTTGTGGCAGTCGAAAAATTGCTATTGCTTGATTTATGAGGGAGCAAAAAGTCGCACTTTACTGACAGGATTTGCATTGCAATAAATGGAAGTCGAAAAAAAATGAAAAAGAAGTTTGAAAATAGTTGTCAACTCTCTTGAGTATTGTTCTTTTACCATACTTAACCGCAGACATTTTTTCGTTTCGGGTTTATGTTTTTCGTTTTTCACATAAAAAACGCCTATTAAATGCACGAATTTATTTTTTTTAGATTTCATGCCACCCAGAGAACACAACAAAGGCTGGGAAATGAGAAAACAAAGCAACACTAAACGGTTGCTGCTGCACACACACGCAAAAGTAAACGACGAAAAGTATTCATGATTATTTTATTATTTTTGCTCGGAAGAACTTCCCGCGATTCCCTGTGTGGTATCATCTTAACTTGCTATTTGTTATTAATACACTTTAAATCAACCCTTTAATTATAAAAATAAACATTAAATATTTCATATAAATTTTAATTAAAACTTATATCTTTCATCGGTAGCCGTAACTATAATTTTTATGCATCTCTCGCTCTTTTCTCGTTCAAAAATTCATTAAAAATTGAGCAATCCATTAATCATTTCACCCGTTGACGAAAGAATAAATTTTAAGTATGTAGAAGAAGAGTATGCAAGTACGATATTGAGAGGAAAAGTGCCTGAAAATGTGACAAGAACCATCAAATTTACATAAATATGCAAATTGCACTTGTGTATTAGCTGGGGCATTTAAGAACTTTAAAAAAGGGTTAGCTGCTCAAAAAATTTCTATGAAAATTCCTCTTCTCAATATATTTGACACAAAAAAAGAAAGAATAAAGACTATAATACAATATTTATGAAATAAAGAAATTTATATAAAAATACTTTTGGGGTGTTCTATGAATACAAGAGTATGCTGCTTTGGTCGTTAACCCTTCGTGTTTGAGGTAAATGGCAAAAATGTGTACACGAAAAAAAGAAGAGAAACCATAGATTCCATTATATTTCTTCATCTTCTTGCGTTTTTTTTTTCTTCTTCATTATAACCCGATGAATAGAAAAAATAAAAGAAAATCAGATTTCAGAAATTTAAGATCTTTCCTCTACTTATACTCTAAACGTACGATGTCTTTATTTTCTTTTCAATCTCTTACAGACTTTTTGCAAGACGATTGAATAAATGACACAGATATTCACGAATAAGAAATGAGCTGACAGGGTTGTTAACGAAATGAAATAAATTGGAGAAACACACGTGGATTAAAATGTTAATTTCTGGGTTCCAACGAGGAAATTAAAACTCATGCGAAACAAATTTTCGTTTTTAAGATATTAACTTCGATTGGCTTTTAAATTATTAACAAAAAATTACTAATATGATTAATGGGGAAATAAATAATTTGGACTTATGAAAATTTCTGATATAAAGTTTCAATTTAGTTTTAAATAATAAAGATAACATCTCTGGATAACAGAAAAAATTGATGATAAGAAATTAGTAATTTTATTTAGAATATTATGAATAGTTTAAAAAACTTACATCGTATGTATTTGGCCTCATTGTACCTTTTGTTTTCTTTTTAAGAAAAATGTGACATTAGTTTTCTTAATTATGAAAAATTGGAATGCCACAAATAATATTTTTTTTATTTATCTGCTGTAGCGTATGAACGCTCATCGACAATTTAAAAAAGTTAGATGAAATTTCCTTTCTTCTTAATTTTTATTTCTCTTTCAATAATTTATTTTTCTCTTTTGATTTTTATCTGATTACCGATTCATTTCCAAATTTTTTTTCTATGCCTTTTTTATTTTATTATTTTTTTTTTATTTCCCAAATTATTATCTTTTATTTTTTTGATTTTTTATGTTGTTTTCCAATTCACCGAAAATATTCATACGATTATTTTATTTCCTTGTTTTTCTCTTTCACTTGGTTGATGATGATGATAATCTAATATTTTGTTCTGTATTTTATTTTTTTGATGTAGATTCTTTTTTATCCAAAATAAAACTTATGTAAGAATTATTCAAATTTCAATCGTGTTTAAATCCAATAATCAGGCGATAAATTATACATTTACTTTTTTCTTCTTGCCCAGTTACAACACTTTCTCGAACACAATTAACGAACTCAAGAAAAACTTCTAACTTTTATTTTATTTTCTTTAAACACTTTTTTCTTTCTTGGTTTGGTTTTTAGAGCATATTTAACTGCAACTAACCAAATCCTCAGCACATTGGCTTTGCCTCGCTTTTACACAACAGTTTTGCACATGCTAATTTCTTATGATGCAATATTGAATTTTTTCCTCCTTTTATATGGCCTTCTATAGGTTTATCGTTAAGCAGTTATACCAATTTTTTCGTGTGTCTTTTTTAAAAAAAATCAATAAAAATTCCTCTTATTCTTCCTCTTTTTTTTTTGAACGGAAAAAATATTAAAAGCCTTCGATTTTGTATTTCCTACGAGGGAACAAGACACAGACATATATTTTTGCCGCTTCAGATTATCTTCTATATTTTCTGAATGCTTTTTGATAATTCATCAACAAACTCAATTTTTTTAAAAAAAATTATCTTCTTGCGAAATATTTCTTTTCACTTTTTAAAACTGCAGTATTGTTTTGCACAATTTTTTTCACATTTTTATCACACATTCTATGTGTGTATTTAAATTTTTGTTTTGTATTTTTTTCTTCTTTTTGACTTGCAAAAAATATTAGTTATTTTATTTATATTTTTACCATCATATTATATTTTCTTTCTTTGAAGAAAAAAAATAGAGTCGATACACGCATATATAAATATAAAACACAAAACTGATAATGAAACCATTCATTAGCCAGACCGATAGCGAAGTGAACAGTGTGAAAGCTACAAGCAAACTAAAGCAGAAAATGAAAAGTCAAATGAATGTGTTATGCTGCTTGTCAGTTTTCTCACGCGACAAAATTCTAACACCAAAGCAACACATTCCTTCAAATCTCTGCCTCTCTATAATTCGTAATTGATTATAATATATCGAATATAAGCATGCGGTTATCAAAAACGATATTTTGCTCTACTCTTTGACTCGTATAAGATAATTTTGTTGTTGTTCGGTTTATAAGCGCCGTTTAGAAGAGAATAAAATACTATAATTTATGGCCATGGAAAATAAATGCATGAAATATGTGATAAAACATCACGGGCAATAGATAATTGCGATAATTATATCTCCATATACATATTGAAAATAAGAAGTGTATATATGCAATCGATTTATATTTTCTTATTCAAGAAAAATAAGTTAACAGGCAACAAAATTGTTTGTCACAAGCAACGTGTATAGAGTGAGAGAGTAAACTTTATGATGAGCAACAGCATGTTGCGCTCTCCAAACTCTCAATGTTGTACAACATGCATGTTACACTAAAACTTTTCACTTTTTCTCTAGAATTTTAGCCTGATTGTTCTGAAAAAAATTAAAAACGTGTACAAGGATTTTGAAGCTGCTTTCATATCTTGTTTACTTTTTTATTATTTTTAATGTCTCAGATATTTGGCAATTTAAAAATTCATGCTTAAACTTATTCATCAAATCTCGCTTTTTAATTAAAAATAAACAAAAAAAAATAAGCTGAGTGGAAATACCGCAATATTCCACACAGAACTGCTTATAAGTGCTTAAAGTACAAGATATTTTTTTTTTTTAAAAAAAAACAATAAGAACAATATCGACCTGATTTTTATCTGTCATATACAGAAAATGAAATTATAGAGATAATGACAATTATTCAATGAAGAAAAAAAACAGACAAGTAGATTCGATAAAGGTAAACAAAAATTTTGAATTATTAAAACACAAAAATTCGGAATGGAAATGAGAAATTATTTTGAGGGTGTAATGAAAAAAAACAATACAACAATTCGTGTAAAAATTAATGAGTATGTAAGGTGGGTATACCCTTATCAAGCGTGAGTTACTTATCTTTAAAAAATACAAAACACCTTTAATTGTGTGTTGCACGTCTCAATGGTATATCGGTAAAACAACAAAACAATTTGCAAGAGGAATTTTATCAGTTTTTACTTATTTAATTATTTATTTCGTATGAGAATGTGTATTGATAGTATTACAATAACAATTTAAAGTAAGAAGCAAAAAGAGAATTTATGTCGCTGTATGGAAATATGACAAGGGATTTCTCTCATGTAAACGTTTTTTTTTTCTTTTCGTCTTCTATATGATTTTGTACAATAAATACAGTATGAATATAGATATATAAAAGGAGGTAAAGAGAAATGAATATTGTAGCACATTGAAGTGAATCAGAAACATTACGACGATGAAAATGACGACGACTTATAAGAGATGATGTGACGGCGCTAGAATGAAAACGTACGAGAAAAAAAAAACACTCTGAGAAATTCCAAGGTGAAAGTGTTCATTATGCATATATATGACAAAAAATTTATATTATAACAAAGTATCAAGATGTAAATGTATGCAGCAGGCTAACATTTTGTATTATGACTCATCGTATTAAAGTGCTCATCATCAGGCTCTGTCGGCTAATTTTCTTTTTGTTATTCTTATTCTTCTTATCTAAACTGTTGTTAGATTGTTCATTCATCTTTATACTTTCTCCTATATTGTCACATTCTTTCTCCTCTTGCTTCATTTTTTAAAGCAGGTGTCCTAAAACTTCAATTTTGTCCAAAGTTGTTACAAAAATATTTTGTTTGCAGTTTTATAGACTTTTTTAAAAGAAATTGACTATTTAGAAAAAACTCTTAATTCATTTTAAACATAAACTTTCACAATAGAAAAAATATTTGTAAATAATAATTGAGAATTCTTACTCGTTTCACGGTAATGGATATAAAAAATTATTATACTCTTTTGTGTAGCATTTGATTTGTTTGTCGACTTTTGATAAAAATGCGTATTAGAAAGAAATAAAACGCAAAGTATTTAAATACTTTTATGGTCCTTTGGCGTTTGTCGTTGCGCTGATAAGGTGTTTGAAAACACAAAGAAATAAATACATTTTTCACGTGCTCTTAAATACACATAAGAACGCCCTTTTGAATTCTATCAAGTAATTTTTTATTCTTGTTTAAAGCGCATTGTACATACATGGCATAAACGACAATTCAAAATTTGTAAATCGGCTCCAGAAATATATCGATACAATAATTGTAATGATGATTTCTTTATGATTTTCTTACACATATTTTATGAATAGCGCTTTTCTTTTGAACTATCCGTACTATAGTTTTCTTAAATGCTGACTGCTTGATTATGCGATGTTTTTTTAAATTCATTTTTAATAACATCTTTTAAATTTTTCTTCGTTTTATTTTTTTGTGTATGAATGAAGAATATATGCAAATTGCATGGGAACACCATTGCAGAGTTTGTTTTAAATCATTAAATGGAGTGGAATTGCAGAGTTCAAATGTTGAAAACAGTGATGCATTCTGGCAAGTTGTCTTGATCAGTTAAAATCTGATAGACACTTTCTTTTGTAAAATCTGTCTACACGTTGATAGGGTGAGGATTGAGATATTTAAACCAAAATCGACTTCGATTTCTGATAACCATTCTGATTTTAATTTTGCATTGCTCATTACAGGTCTCTAAAACACTAGTATAAAACAAAGTAATATATCTCTATTGATTTAATCTTCTATTGCGGAACTAGGGATCTTTTTTATATTACTAAGGAACAACATGAAATCGTTATCAGCAACAGTTGATCTCATTTTTTTTCGAATAATTGATAATTGATTTAATTTTTGTCTATGCGTTTTTTTACTCATTTGCTTCCAATAAATGAATAATATTTAACAACTCCATTCATTCATAGCAGTTTAATTTAAAATTTTTTTTTTAATTTTATCAATCACAGAGGTGACTGTGTAGTTAAACATGTCTTTTTATCATTATATGTAATGGATCATTTTTTTTCTTGTATCATGTGGTTTATTATTGTTACCGATAATGAAGCGAAAAATATGATTTGGCTTAACCATTGACGTCGTTCAAAGGCATAATCGAAACTAATTCATACTCTGTTAACAATCAGGACTTCTTAAGTACACTTTAGTTTAATTGAAAAGTAAAAATAGACATAGATAACAACATAAATTAACAGTGTATCGATAAATAGAGTTTCTGGTACTTCTAGGACCAAAACGCTATTAACAAAAAGCGCGTGTATGAAAATTAATTTGAATATTTTATTTTCTATCAAGTTTTTAAATGTTTTATAAAATCTCACAATTTCAAATTTGAATAAAAACTCGATTCTTCAGAAACCCTAATCGATTGCGATGATCATTCATTTTTGTTTTCTTTTGGGAAATCAGAGCGACATGATTTTAAAATTCAATAAATCATTTTTCAAAAGAAATCGCTGATAAAAAGGCAAGGTGCAAGCATAATACATAAATTTCAGCACTTTGATAAATGTGTAGGAGTATCATGGAAATTTTTTATATTAGAGATGAACAAAAAATTAAAATAATACTTGCAAAAATTTACAAACTAATATATTAAATTATTGAGCAAATAAATTAAATAGAGCAAAAATAAAAGATGATGTTTATTAAATGCATAAAGGCGTAGACAGGCAAGAAACTCTGAATTCGAGTTGAATATGAAAACCTTAAAAAGCTCATAAAATACAGTTTGTTAAGTACACATTAGAGGGGAAGTCATATATTTCTCTATTTCTTTGAAAAATCATCTTCTCTTGTAACTTCAATATTTACAAATTTTTATCAATTACTATGGGATATTTCATTATCATTTCGTATGTTTTGATTTTGTTTGATATTTCATACTAACACTAGTTAACAAAATGAATGTCTTTAATTACAAACCTTTGTTTCTTTCCGAGGGATTTTTTTTTCTTTAAAAATTGCGGAAGCATCAAGTGTTTTCTTGAAACTGTAAATTTTTAAATATAAGCATTCAAGACAGGAAGTCAAACTTGAGTTCACACAATCAATATCAGCAGAAAACATCAATTGAGGATTCCAAAACCATTAATATATTTTCCAATTTACACTAATCTTATCAGTTTGTCAGTTTTAGAATTGTTTTTCAACCACAGTTAATTGCCACTAACATCTCATTTCGTTGCAAATACTGTTCATACCAATTGATTGTAAAACAAGTAAGAATTTCAATTGTTTCTTATTTTTTGTGTTATTTAATGTTAAGGTTAAAACCAAAAATAACTTTTAAAAAAATAATAAGTGAACATATATGAAGATATGAAGATTATTCAAGGTAAGAAGAAAAGAATTCCTCTTATTTTGCGCAATGCTGTCGAGGAAAAAAAGAAGCAGCAGTTGAAAGAAGAAAAAAAATTCCAATGATTTATTACGGAATAACACCTTGATAAAGAGGCAAAAACTCGAGGTAGTTAATATTATTGTCATTTTTGTCTGTCATTCTATCATTATTCTCTCTCTCAATTGCCCATTGACACTCTTTGAAATACATTGAGATGAGTCGCGCGCGGACTAGAATCCGGGTAGAATATCTACGTAATGCCTCTTTTCAAAATACCGAAAATATTTTGATGATGTTATTACTTGTGGCTGACTGCCGCCGAATATTCTTTCGAAAAGCTTTTTGTCGTGTTCGTTGTTGTCGTCGTCGTCGCCATATTATGTGAAGTGAGGTGCTCTTTTCCTGTGTGCTCATATGAGACTCCTCGTTTATTATTTTTAAATTTTTATTTAT